TCTCGCAGTGCTTTATGGGAGTTATGGTTCGGCTCGCTCCCGGTCATTGTGGCGCTGCTCAAGCACGTACTACATTTCCCGTCAGGCTTTGCCGGGAGAGCGCAACAACGTCACTCGGGGTCTGGTTATCCGGGTCCTCGAGCGGTCCAGCCAATCAGCGAGTCTCAAAGGGTGTCTGCCAGGCGCTGATTGGTGGGTTCGGACTGCCGAGCCCTGTTTGAAATCCGTTAACGGCGGCGGCAGAGGCGCCGCGCGGAGTGGCGGCGGCGCTGCTGAGGTGAGTGCGGGGCCGCCGGCTGGAACCCCCCGGCCTCGCCCCTTTTTCCCCCGACCCACAGCCCTTCCCCATATCTGGTCGTTCGCTCCACTCCGTTCGTGGCGACGCGGCCGTTCCCCGGGCCTACTCCGAGCCCAGGTATTGGTAACGGGGGCTCGGCAGGGAAACGGAGGCGGAAGGCGGCTCCCGTCGCTCAGCCCGCGGCCGGAGCCGCTATTATGGCGCCTGGCGGGCGGGTTCGTAACGGAGCCCCGGGGGCTGATTGCGAACCCCTCGTTCCCCGGGGAAGCCGAGCCCGCGGCCGGTAACGGGAAGAGCCGCCCTGGCGGGATGGGGGGGTTCCCAGTACTGGCGGGCCAGGCGTGTGCCTTACGGTGGGGTGGGGGCCTCGGCAGTGAAATAAAGCTCTAAGTCTTTAAACAATCACGAAATCTGATGGAACGGTGTATTTACCGACGGAAAGCTCTGTAACTTCTTTTAAGTCCAAATCCTGCTTCCCATGGAAAGGGGGGAAGCGAACCAGGCAAAACCCGGCCCAAGTAACAGAGAAAATAATAAGGGCTCTATTTTTATGCGGGGCTTTTTTTAAGCTAGAGGACCTTCAACTTAATGTAACAATTAGTTGAGGCTGTGCTAGCTAAAAATAATTATGTTTTCCTTGAACATCTATTCTTAGAATGTCCCATCTTCATGTCTTCTGAAACTTGTGGGATCTTTTTTAGGGAGCACGAGATGTCAGGGCTGTTTATTTTTGGGAGTGGGGGCGGGTCTGGGCCGTTAGCTGAGCAAAGGCTGTGCCGGAGCTTTTCCCCTGCCCTGGCTGCCGGTCCGGGTGGTCTGCGGAGCTTTCTGCGGGCTCAGCTCTCACCTGGGGCTTGTTAAAGGTTTTGTATCTCAGTTTGAGCATGAAATGATGGAACAGCAGCGTTTTGGGGGGTGGTGAATCCATTGTTGATTCTGTGCTGCAGAAAAGCCCAGTTGGACTTTGAGAGAGGAGGGAGAAGCTGTAGATCCAGAGCGTGTTGGAAGTGTTCACTTAACCCTGCCCAGGGAAATGCAAGGATGAAGGGTGACTTTCTGAGGCTGTCAGTGTCATGCAGAGGGAGTTCAGGTGTTGGCTTTGTGGTGGGATGGTTCTCACCAGGCTCTTGTGACAGGACTGTAACTTCAGAGATGCTCTAACTTACATTTTAACTCCTGAAAAGCATCCAGGCCCTTTGGATTACTATCCCAATAAAAAGAACAGAAAACTCTGTGTTGTAGGACAATGAAGAAGCTGCCAGGCTGAATTAAAGCTGCCTGGTTAGTGCAGCATCCTGTGGTTAAGCAGCAGCTGGTGTTGAAGCCCACCCAGCAGAAGGCCCTGGAATTGCTGGAGCACATTCCCATGCAGCTGCCTCAGCCTTGGGGAAGCTTCTCTTGCTTATTCCTGGTTGCCTGCCTTGGGTTCTGAGGCATGTGGATCAGCTGGCTTTGTGTTTATCTGCTGCTGTAACCTAGGATAGCCTCTTGTGTGTCTGTTGTTGTTTATTGGGCTTTCTAATCCTGGTAGGATTTGCCATAAGTAACATTTGTAACTTGTGAGGCTCTGGTGGTGTGTTGTGATAAGGCATCATCTCCAGTTCAGCAGGGCCTTATCTACATTGCAAGGTGGCAAGAAAGAGCAGATATCTCTGCCTTCCTCGGGATCCAGGCTGGTTTGGGTTGGAAGGGGCCTTAAAGCTCATCTTGTTCCAAGCCCCAGTAATGATTCTGGGCAGAGACACCTTCCACTGGAGCAGCCCTGTCCAACCTGGCCTTCAGCACTTCCAGGGATGGGGCAGCCACAGCTTCTCTGGACAATCCTTGCCAGAGCCTTACCACCCTTACAGGGAAGATTTTCTGCCTAATATCCAGTCTAAATCTCTCCTCTTTTAGTTTGAAGCCACTCCCACTTGTCCTATCACAACCTTTCTGTGTCCCTATCCTGTCCTTACTACTCTCCCACACTTCTCCATTCTCTCTCCCTCTGTCCTTGATTTCTCATCCTGGAATGCTGCATCCTATCTCCAACACCATGGTCTGAATGGCTGGGAGGCTTCTTTGTCCAGGCAAATGGTGCTGTTGGCACAAAATTCACAGCTACATTGAGACAAAGACACTGAACATATCTGTGATGGAATTGTGTCAGTATTTTAAAGCTAATTTGGATTAGAGAGAGGTGTGAAGTTATTCCAAAATACCTATTGCACTTGCTGTTGGATCAGTCTTATTCTGGGATAGGAATGCTTGTTCCAACTTAGTGTAATCCTTTTTCAAAGCTAACTAATCTAAACCATGCCAAGGCACTCTTCTGGAACGTGCCAAAGTGCAGTTACTCAAAAGAAACCTGATGTCCAGAGAAACCCATGTCTGTTCCTCCCCATGGATACATCTGTGCTGCTCTGGAGGCACAGTGAGACAGCACACCTAGAAAGCAAATGAGGGTGTTAATTAAGTTAAGAATTGGGGGTGTTTTTGCAGGAGAGATGATCAGATCCTCCTTTGCTGCCTGGGCAGCTCTGCGGCCCTGCTGAAAGCTGATCCTGCAGAACGGGGGTGAGGGTTCCCCTGGCTGGCTGCACACCCCCGTGTCGACACGGGAGGTGATGGATGTGGGGGAGAGCAGGGTCAGGCCTTAAATCCACGCCGAGCTGTGTAGGATTACAGCCTGTAGTCACGCCTGGGAAATGCACACACTGCCTGCTAATTAGGGAGCGTCCCTATTAATGAGGGGAAATCTCCACGCCTCCCTTCCGGTGGGTGAATACTGCGGTGGAGAGAAAGAATTTTGGATTGAGATAAATGTGGCTGTGCTGTCAGAATCACGATGGGCTGTTTTAAAATGCCTGCAGGGAGCGGGCTGTGCTTGGCAGAGCCTGGTGGGTTTGCAGATGCCTCGTGGTGGGCGCAGGAGTGATAAATCACCAGGGCATTCCTGGCTGATCCCTGTCCCAGCCTGAGTCGGTGGGTGGAGGAGCAGGATGCCTCTCAGGGAGCTGCTGCTTCACCAGCAGTCCTGTTCCAGGCAGCACTTGGAGGATATGGAGGGATTTGAGAAGCAGATGCCGTGAGTTCATCTGACTGAAATGGACTTTCTGGAGTTCACTTACAATAACTTTTATCTCCTTGTTGTCTCTTTCAAGAAACAGAGTATGAAAGTGAGGCAGTGGTACAATCCTTTTCCTGACTATTCTCTTCTGTCTGGGATAGAGGGGAGAGAGAAGGGGTCAGCAATGAGGGTGGTGACATTATGGAATATGGGCTCCACTCAGTAAAAAGCTGCAAACTGCAGCAATGTAGCAGTGGGCACAAGTAGCAGTGAAACATGATGCCCAGAGCTCTGACTCTGACTGGAGAGGGTGAGGGGAGAATGCAGATGACGCATTTGATTTTTAAAAAAGTCTAAAGTGTTGACAGAAATTCTATCTTGATTAAGGGCAGTAGGAAAGCATTTGATTCCAGCCGTGTCTCGAGCTCAGTTACAGTTGGTTTTGGCTCTAATTCTTCTGTTTGCCTTCTTTGGGCCCTACCATGACATCTTCCCAGCCATGTAGCTGGTGCTTCTCTAATGGCATTCTTGCCTTTAACTATCACAGCTCTGCTCTGGGGAGCTGGAGGCTTCTCAGTGCCCCCATCCTCGGGGGTCAGTGTTTGTGACCAGCATGGTGCCCCCCAAACACTGCTCTGCTTTACTCTTGACCATTTTCTTATTTATTGAGGAACATCTGGGTTTTGAACCATGTGTGGTCTGCCTAGACAGGTGGTTAAGGGCTGAGGCTCTGTGGGTTAGGAATATGCTGCTTTGGAATTGCTTGGATTCATAAAAGCAAAGTTCAGGTGATTTCCTTGGGGAGTGTTTTATAACATCCTCGTGGGCTTTGCCTCACAGCTGTTCAAGGCATCACAAAAGCACCTTTGCAAGAAGGTTTTGTATAATTTCAGGGTTTATAACTTTGTCATTGGCTTTATTCCTGTTCCGTTGAGTTTAATATCACCTGTTGACACAGGGACTCCTCTTGCTGTCAGTGCTTCATTAATTAACTGCAGGGACTGTTTGACATGGGTCACAGTGTACAGTTTGTTTATAGCCTGGCCAGCCTTGGGCTAGTGCTAAGGAATGCAAGAGGGCCTGACACTGCCCTCCTTCTGACTGTTTGCCCAGTTACAGTGTTCTACAGAACCCTCTTCCTGCTTTGAAAATCAATTTATTATACAGAAGAGCACCTTTGTATTGTTAGTTCTCTTTTTTTTGTAGCCCTTTAGAGAGAGAGGCTGTGCATTGCAGTGTATCTCATCAGGTTTGTAAATCTTGCTAGAGTAAGAACTCTTCTTTGTGTGTGGTGAGGGAAGGAAGTGGAAATCAAACACTCTCTGGAAAAGCTTTATACTTCTTAAAAAATACTATTCTGGCACCCACAGGTACAGAAAAAATCCAGTCAAAACTTGATCTTTCTGATAGCTTTGAACCTGCAAATGTCAACAGTGGTGAAATATCCTTAGCTTTGCAGATCAGCAGTAGGATAAAGCTCTGCAGTGCTCATGAGGAGTTCTCCCCAAAGGTGTGAAGTGCAAGAAGTCCCAATGCCTGTCCCTGGAAACTCTGCAGAGGAAGAGGGGTGAGGGATGATTCCACTGATTCCCTGTTGTTGTCTAAAGGGCTGTAGCAGTGCAGACAGGACTCTTGGGGACAGTGTGACTGTGAAGATGTCTAAGCCAGAATCTCGTTATTCTTTTGATGTCCCAAACATCTGCATCGATTTTGCAACTCTGAATGAGAATGATGTGTACAATGCAGACTCCTGGTTTGGTAAGTTGCTTCCAACTCCTTGAGGTGTTCCTTGTTGGGTGATCCAAAACAAGGATCACACTCCTTGGTGTGATCCTTGTTGTGGGCCTGGCTTCTGTGCCAATTAATCATGATGTTAAATGTATGGGGTTTCTTTTGTTCTGGTTTTTTGTATTTAAATTTTGTCATCTCTAACTTGCCTTTGTTAACCTCATAATGATATTTTGGGGTATTGTTAACAATTCCTAACACTGTGTATAGTGAAAGTCTTTCTCTCCTTATAGATGAAAAAGCCAATCTGGAGAATGTCCCTCCTGCAGAAAATGTGGCAAAGGTCTCACACTGCAGCCCTGCTTTGTCAAAGCCTGATGTTGTTCTGTCTTCTGTCCCTTCACAAGAAGTAGCAAAGAGTAAGCTGGCATGGTGTGGCAGGGAGGGAATAAATAAATTTTACCTGCTTTTCACTGACAAAATGGGAAGGCCTCTGTCTGGCTTTTGTGGGGCCATCTTCACAAACTCCTATCTGCAAGGTCTCCCTTGATTTTACTTGTTGTTGTTCTGTATATGTGTGTATAGATGAGCTGACACTTGCCCCTTTCTCAGGTGAAAACGATGGTGAAGCAGAATGTGCCCAGGGCAACGCAATCCCTCAGAATATCATCGGGTCCCTGGCAACCTGGAGAGCTGCTGCCCCTGCAGAGGCCCCTCAGAGGTGAAATATTGGTGTTCAGTTTGTACAATGATTGATGATGGTGTAACTAAGCAGGTCCTTGCTCTCAGGATCTGCAGTTCTAAGCTGTTCTTGGGGAATCCTGTGGGGCTGGAGTTCTCCAACATGGAGATGGTGCTTGGGACATCTGATCTGCTGGCTAAGCTGGAGGGGCAGTCTCCAGGGTGGAAATGTAATGCAGTGTCTCACATACTTGTCAAATGAGACTCGGCAGCACCAGGAGCTTCTGGAATGTGAGGATATCTGAAACTGAGGTGGCTTATAAAGTTTCTTTGTTTATATCTGCCTGACTTGGGCAGAGCTCATTCTTGATATGAATGCAAGGAGCTCTGCATGCTCATATATAGCAAGGAATATTTAGTTTATGGATTGTTAGACTTTAATAAATCATGCTGCGTTTGGATTGTTATGTTAAACCCAATTTGTGTGGTGGAGTTAGGGGATTCACTGACATAAATGTGTTATCCAGGTCAGGTGTGTCCTCAGATTTGTGGGAAAACTGACCTCTGCTTTCTGTTCTACCCTAGACCAGGCAGGAGACTGGCTCCAAAGCAGGGGAAGACCCAGCAGCGCAAGCAGCCAGGCAGAATCAAAGCAGAGAAAATTGATAATGCCCTGGAAAATAAGGAAGATGTTCCACCCATGAAGAAAATGAGGCTGTATGTCATCCAAGTCCTTCTCTTTAGGGCTGGGAAAAGGGCTACAACTGTTCCTTTGGAAAGGGTTTCCACCTGTGTGAGACAGTTCTTACAGGAAGGATAGGGGGCATTCTGATAGTGGTTGCTGATACTTCATGAACAAGAAATGGCTGTAAATGCTGAAGGAATTGCTCTTTTTGGAGGTGGAGATATGAATTAAATAAGTATGGGCTTCTTCACCTTCTTACTCAGTGTCTGTCAGCTTTAAATTTGTCTGAACTTATCCATCCAGAAGTCATCAGGCAGTCATTAGCTATGAAAGAGTCACAGCCAAAATATTTCTCAAATTAACTTAAGCACTGAAGTATCATATGGTGATAAGCTTAAGGTCAGGAAATTGAAGTGTGATCTTGGAAACACTGCTGTATCTCAATGATCTACAGTGTAACTCCCTTCTCCAGAAACGTTCCAAAAACTCAGTAATTCATCTTCCCTTCTACAGCCTTAGAGTACCAGAGAAAGCTGGATGGTCTATACCTGGGCCTGGGGTGAGGTAAGGCCAGCCTGGCATACCTTAGACCTCACCAGGTGTTGGGAAGTTATGCATGGTGGTGACAGCTGCAGGTAGTAACTTAATTAGAACACAGTTAATTCAAGGAGTTTGCCCTAACAACTTTTTCTTTTAGTTCTGGTAGCAGAGGGAAGGTGACAGAAATGTCCACAAAGAAGGAGCCCCTGCAGGATTCTGAGCTCTCTCCAGGGAGAGGGAAAAGCAAACAGACCATGCCCTCCACGCCAGCAATGTTGAAGTACGTGGCTTTCTTGTGACTTGTGTGCTAATCACAGTTGATTTAGGTGACAGTCCTGGCTGTGTGTTTTCAGCTTCAACTTAGCATGTGATGGTATCACATTTAGTAAACACTGGGTCAAGGCAACAGTATTAGGGTGAAATGTGCTTCACTGGCTGAACCCCTGCACAGGAAGGCTTTTACTTTTCTTTTGAGGAAAAAGTTGTTTTTCCTAATAGGTCAAGAAGGCACACAGCAAAGGGATCTGCAGAATAGCAGCTAGCTGTGAGATTTCTTGAACAGACAAAACCCAAGCAGATCTCTTTTTATAACTGGTGATGCTCCTGCAGTGAGGCTGGACATAAGGATGTTCCCTGCACAAACATCATGCTAATAACCAGGGAAGCAGAAAGGCATATCTTAGTTTTTAATGTGCTTATGCAGGAGGACCAAACCTTCTAGCAAGGCAAAGAGTACAGAGGAGCAGGAGCTGGAAAAGATGCAGCAGTTGCAGCAGGAGGTTGTGGAGCTGCGGAAGAGGAACGAGGAGTCTCTGAAAGCAGCTATTGCTGGAGCAGGTGGGCTCTGCCTGAATTGCTGAATGGAGCTGCATTGGGCTCAGCTGGAGAGTGCTGCACAAAGCTGTGCAAGTACCTTTGAAAACAAGCATTTCAGACTTTGCAATAAATGTTAGGAGCCATTTAATGTAGATCAGCCCCTAAACTGTCTGGAAACAGGTGGGCTTGGGTTATGTCATGTTTTGAAATGTTAAAGATGAGTTCTCTAAAAATTTACTTAGTTGTTAGAAATTAAATGCTTTTTTTATTTCCACAAATTGTACCCCACAACAAAAGTCTTCCAGTCCTTACATGTTCTTTTTCTCTAGGACAACCTGTGAAGAAACCTGTTGGTCAAGTAACAAAGCCAATTAATTTCCACTTCTGCACGGAGACTAGAATTAAACAGAATGCAGAAAGCCAGCCTGGGAATGAGTACAAGGAGCTGGATTTTGCAGCAGTCCTGAGGAAGCATCCCCCTTCTCCGGTGAGAGCCACAGTGTTGCCAGCACTCAGCTCACTGATTCTGGCCATCACCTCCCTGCTCCTTGTGCAATGCTTGGGCTGATACCCACAGAGAGGTTACCACAGGAGGCAGGTGTTGTGCAAATGTGACTGCAGACTTCCTATGTCTCTGTGTTGCCACAAGACTCCAAAGAAACGTTGTGGAAAAAGGAGCCCTTTAATGTCAGATCTTCCAGTCATTCCACTTTGTGCTTTAATCTGCTCAGTAGAGTTTCCCAATATAACTTGTGCATTTTCAGACTGTTAACACCTGTGCTTAATGTGAGGTGTTATCTTCATTGCAGTGGGAGGAAGGGACAGATACTGTGCGTCAGTGGGGAAAGGAAATGTCATCAAAACCTCCTGGCCATACTGACTGTGGTTTTCTGTCTCCAGATGCGAATGCCAAAGGGGCACACTGTCCCCAGACCTTTCAATCTGTCCCAGGGAAACAAAAGAAAACATGAAGAAGCCACAACAGAATATGTGTCCTTTGCTGAGCAGGTAGAAGCGTTCCAAAAACGCACACCCTCTCGTTACCATTTGAGGAGCAGGAAATCTGAGGAAGGTGAGTTGTCCTGCCTGTGTCCAGAGCAAGAGATGCTTTGACTAGTCTGAGCAAATGGCCTGTGATTGTTGCAGGCCTTGCCACTAACTGCTGGTCTCTGTGACTTGAATTTGTAGGCTCAGTTTCAAAAAAGCCAATGAAGGCTGGGCCCACACACCCCAAAACACCAGTGCTGCGAACGAAGCAGCGCTCGAGACCTGTCACCTGCAAAACTGCTGCAGAGCTGGAAGAAGAGGAAATAGAGAAAATTCAACAGTAAGTAAGGGTTACCCTAGTCCTCCAGGGGATGATTGAGATTCCTTTATGTTGTTCATAATTCTTTAGCTCTGATTGTAGGGGAGTGAAATATAAACAATTCATTTTGAAGAACGTGCTCTTAAGAGAGCTAATCTTGGGTTGAGTACAGCTTATGATGAGTAAAGCAAACCCAATATAGCAATGCAACCTGCATGCGTTTCAAAACCTGTCTGTAGGCAAAGGTTTGGATTTCTAGAAAAATAATCCATAAGATTTTCCTTATTAATCTTGCTGTTTTGAAGGCAAAGGAAGAATTGCTAACTATAGCTGCACACTAACATACAATGTATAACTGGTGACTGTCTCCATTGTTCCTGCATAGGTACAAATTCAAAGCACGAGATGTCAATCACAAAATCCTTGAGGGTATGCCACTCCTGCCCAAGAAACCCCCTGTGAAGAAGCTCACCCAACCTATTGGCTTTCAGCTGGAAATAGAAAAAAGGATTCAGGAGCGTGAGAGCAAGAAGCAGCAGGAGGAAGAGCGCTTCGAATTCCATTCCAGGCCATGTCCCACAAAAATCCTGGAGGATGTTGTGGTAAGAAGTTTAATAATACCCAGGCTTGGGAATTGGTGGCAATGAGCTTCCAAATGGTTGTAGCTATGTTGCATTATGTGTTTAATGATCTCAGTAAACAGTGTCTGTCATTAGGTAAGAACCACACTAGGTACATCCTGTGCTGTCAGGTTGTTTCTCTGAGGCGTTTTCTTGGCACTTGGCCTTGGGTAACTCCTTACTGGCTTTTCTGAACAGGGTGTTCCAGAGAAGAAGGAGCTTCCTCTTACAGTTGCTAAGTCTCCAGCCTTTACCTTGAGAAGCAGGACCCGTGTGTCTGGCAGAGAGGAGAAAAAGGTAACAGTTGTGACAAGGCTGGAGCCAGGCCCAGCTCTCACTACAGTGCCTGCTGTGCCTCTGGATGTGGGTGGGATGCTTTGGGGCTGGAAGCCCCTTCCTTCCCTCCTGTAAGCAGTTCCTCCAGTGGTTACCTTTGCCTGTGCCATTCACTTGACACAATCTGGTTATTTATTGCTACTCATTTTATGGAAACTGAATTCTCATTAAAAATGAAATAATTTAAATGCTGGGGCACTGATGCAGGTTTCTGAGGTGTTGGTGCTATAAATGAGGAAGGTGAACTGCTTAGATTTCTCATCCTTCCCAATTCTGTCACTGAAGGCAGATATTACACATGACCTTTTTTCTCCCTAAGGTGGGGAGCAGGATTCTGAAAGCTTCACATCCTTCTTCCTTTCCTTCTTGTCAAGAGGATATTAAATAATTACAGTCTAATTTGAATGAGTACTAGAATTGAGAGTGGTTTCATAAAAGGGAGAATTGGGCCTGTGGTTCAGGATGCCAGTAAATTGGTATTTTTTGGATTCCTAATTTTTGCAGTGTCCACTGTTTGTGTGACCCTGCTGTGCCCCTTATCAAAGGAGTTCATTCAAAGCTCTTTGTGGCTTTGCTTGGCAGGAGTTGCAGCCCATACAAAAGTAAAAAATCAGACCCTAATGCTAATATCCCTTTAGGAAAAAGAGGAGGTGGCTGTGATCAAAGCTAATCCTATGCCACATTATGGAGTGCCCTTCAAACCCAAAATGCCAGAGCAGAGGCACGTGGAAGTTTGCCCCTTCTCTTTCGATGCCCGGGACAGAGAACGACAAATACAAAAAGAGAAAAAAATAGAAGAACTACAGAAGGAAGAGGTAAGAATGAAAAGCTACCTTGGATTCCACTTCTTCAGTAAAAAGAGTGTGATAGGATTTGGTGTTGTCTATTAAAACTCCGAGGAAAGGACAAGAAATATTTTGAGGTGTTTATTTCAGGTGCCAAAATTCAAAGCGCAGCCTCTGCCTTACTTTGACGAAGTTAAACTGCCAGAAAAGAAGGTCAAACCTGCAACTCAGCCTGAGCCATTCCATCTGCAGGTGGATGAGCGGGGAGCTGCCAAGCTCCAGAGCTGGAAACAGCAGGTAGGATGAAAAGGGTAATGGGAATGACCAGACTTTAATCAGCTGGTGGAGTTGTGCTTGACTAGAGAAACTGTCCTCCTTGAAGTGAATCAGGAGCTGAGTTGGAATTTTTCTGTACTTGGCGTGAGACTTGTGCTATTGGGTTAAGGATTGGTCAATGGTTTGTTTTCATTTTTCTCACTTAGTGGTAAATTATGGGATTTACCACAATTGTATGAACAGCTGTGGGGCATTTTCTAAGCACCCGCTCTGTGCAGCTGAATCTTTTTGCTGACTATCTCCAGGAATTTATTGTCACATAAACAATATACTGCTTTTCTCATGTGAAGCCTGCAGTGGACACCTGAAACTTTCTTCAGGCTGTTTTTTGGCAAAGCAACTGTCAGGCAACAAGTGACACCAATTTTTGGCTTTAATATAATTTTCTATGGAAGTTATTTGACTGAATCAGCATGGATTTTCCAGTGTAGGGAGCGCTTGAGTCTGGGTCAGGGGGAGATGGTCTCTTTCTGCCTGGCACTTGATGTGCTCTCTTCTCTTGCAGCTTGAAGAAGACTTGAAAAGGCAGAAAGAGGCAGCGTGTTTTAAAGCTGGTCCCAACACAGTGGTGTACCAGGAGCCTTTTGTGCCCAAAAAGGAACATAGGATGCTACCAGGTAGAGTTGCAAGTACTTGTTACACTGGTTTGGCTGATAGCTCAGAACTGAGGCAATTAAGTGATGTTTTTTCTGGCTCTTGCCTCTTCATCAGCACAGCCAATAGTGCCTTGCATTTAATCAACTAATTGCCTAACAGCTTGTGTCCCCTGGGAGCAGGGGGATTTCCTCTCCACCCCCCTGTCCTGCTCCAGCATGGCAGCTGTATTTAGAAGCTCTGCTGCAATTGGCAGATGATTGATGTGTGCCAGCTCAGGATAAGGGTACTGAGAATGTGAGGAGCTCCCTGCAGAGACAGCTGGCATTTCTGCAGCGCTGTCACTCTTTCCCTCCCGTTTCTAGTGAGATGAAGGCATTTACTGCTTGGGTAGGCTGAGATTTGTAGAGCATAAAACCAGCCAAAAGCTTGTTTGTACTAACAATTGTGTGCTTGCTCCCTCCCATGAGAACATCCATGATGGGGTGACGTCTGCATTAACACTGCTCACGTCTGGGAGTAAAGTTTTGTCTTTTCCTGAAGCCTGGAGGTATCTCCTCACCACCCTTGCCAAGGGGAAGCTCTCCAAAGGGAGGCTTCCATTGGCATTAGTACTGCTCTGCTTTACCTGACTCTCTTTAAACCAATGTTATCTCCTCTATTTCTAAACTTAGAGAACCTTTCTGGTTCTGTAGTTCCTGAAAGCTTTGAGCTGGCAACAGAAAGAAGAGCAAGAGAACGGCAAGAATTTGAAAAGCGATTGGCAGAAGTAGAAGCCTTAAAGGAGAGTTATGAGGAGCAGATCAGGCAGGAACAAGAGGAGCTTGAAAAGGAAGAAGTTGCTAAGCTAAGACAAGAAATGGTAAGTGAGCTGTTTGTGAGCAAGGGCTATAAAGAAACCCAAAGGAAGGTGGGAATATCCTTATGGAGCTAATGTCACAGTTGAGCTGTGCTAAGACTGCCTTTTCAAGGTTCCCTTTTGCAAATTGATGACTCACTAACTTCACAACTGGTTTAAAAAAACCAAACCTACAAAACCATACAAACAAAGAAGGCAGCTGTGCTGAGATGGCTGAGTTTTGGAGCTGCACATGTGTAGCTATCAAAGCAGAATGATCTTAGTAAAACCCACAACCCCAACATGTGCTGTACATTTTCCCACTACCTCACTCCAGTGCCCAGGGTGGTGTGGTGGTCTCAGGCAGATGTCTGCCTTCACCTCATCCACAGCTCACCTGCAAATTTCAGCTTCATAACTGCAACCATTTGCTTTGTTTTGCCCTTGCTTATATTTATTTTTCCACAGGTTCACAAGGCAAACCCAATACGCAAATACCGCAGCCTGGAAGTCAAGTCCAGTCATCAACCACTGACTGTGCCAAAGTCTCCCAACTTCTCAGACAGATTCCGAATCTGATGAGCATCCACATCCACGTGACAACTGCTGGGAGATCCCATCCCTCTCTACTCCCGTGGTAGGGAGAGAGGGAGCAATTGTTTTTCCATGACTGCTCAGTCTGAACTCCTATGCTTGGTTTCATTGTTGTACTGAGTAGTTAAACTCCACCTGAGCCCGTGGCATTTCAGCAGGGCCTCCTGGCCTTGCTGTGTATACAGACCCTATCTTCTCTAGAGACTAAACCAAGTTTTGATATTGCATACAGATATTTTATACCTAACTAAATAAAAATTCCAAATCTACTTGCTGTCTCTGGCTAATGGGCTGAAGCCATTTCCTGCAAAGCCCTTTCCTGCAGGAGAGTTTTTGATAAAGACTGGCCACACAGATGTGTGCATCTGGCACAGCTGCCGTGTTTTTACACCAAGTGTTATTTTCAAGTGTCTTGTTTTTTAGCATTTTAGTCTACATTTAGCTTGAATTGTGTTAAGAGAGGTTCCTTCAAGCCAGTGTAGTGCGGGTCTGGCCTTCCTTGTTGATGTTTAGATGACCACAAATATAAATCTTGCCCATGCTTAAAGGTAATTCTTTGTGTATATTAGATATTAAACCATCTTGCTGTTTTATAGCTGAAGTCCTGTTTGGGGAGCCATTTATCTGGCAAGTGACTTGCTGTGAGCTGCTGCCCCAGCTTCTGCCAGTGCAGGTCTCTTGGCTACACAGCCATCAGCATCTCTGGCTAGTTTGGGCAGCGAGCAGAACTAAACAGCCCAAGTGCTCAGTTGTGCTGGAGGACAAAACCGCTGGCATTGTGAAGAGTGGACGCATCTAGATTAAAGCTTTAATAATTATTTCTTACTTAGTATTGTGCTCTGATTTCTTACTTCTATATTTTGCTGAAATACCTGCTCACACCCATGAGCAGGGCTGCTTGCTACTGTTGTGCTGCTTAGCAGAGGGGAGGAAATGGAAATTTAGAATTAATTTATCCTAACTGGACAAACTTGGTTATTTGGTGGTTATGGAAAACATTTGCTTTCATTTCTTCTGAACTGGGCTACTGTTGAAGAAGTATTCCTAGCGTGTGTAGCTTTTTGTTCAGCGTTTTGGGTGAAAAAGAGTTCAAACTAGGTGTTAAATTCCACCTAAGGGGGTGCTTAGAAATGCTGTCTCATTCTTGCCAAAGTGCATCAAGCAATTGCTATTTTACTTCTAGATTGAAAGAATTAACAGTGGAAGAAAGTCCTTAGAGACCTAAATTCGAAGATGAACATTTATTGGACCCGAGAGATGATGTTTCTGCAGGAATTTTCCTAAAAAGTGTGATGCTCAAGAGATGTCATTGCAGAACAGCTGGGGTCTCTATGGGAGTGTTTTCAAGAGCACCAGCCTCAAACTTCAATGCTGGGATTAAAAGAGGAAAAGCCACCCACACTGAAATACAAGGATTCTTAAAAAAAAAATTAAAAGTTTTATGTAGTTAGAACTGAGGAGCTGGAGAATGAGAGCCTTGGGGAAGTACTAAAGGATGAATGACTCTATGGCAAGAGAGTCATTCAAGAGTGCACTCCATGGCAGTATGGGCTCTTGGAAATGGTAAGTTCAGACATGGCTCCATTTTGCTCAAGTTTCAGCTTTTCCTTCCCTTCTCTTGAGGATCTTTGTGTAGCTGTGGCAGAGGTTGGCCCAAAGGTTTGATCTAATCACCCAGTCTGCCTTCAGCTACATTTTTCTGACTTTCCTGATAGCCTTGTGTCTCAGCCTTGTGAGCTGAGAGTTACAGGACAATCAGAAAAGCTGCTGTGACAATTTGCAGGAGTGGCTGGAGCACAAGGACATGTCAGCATCCTTTTCTTGAAAATGAAAATCCATGTGGATCTGCCCTGTCTGCCTTAACCCCATTTCTGTTGTGGTGAGGCTGTTCCCTGTGATCTGCTACTGGCTGGGGACATCACAGAACCTCAGATGTTTTTTCCTCGAGTGCCAGCTCTGGGTAAGGCAGCGTGTGGGCAGCAGAAGCAGCAAATATTTATGATGAGTCAGGGGGAAGCTGGAATGATGATGAGCTGCTGAAGAATGTGAAGGCAAGCAGGATCATGAGGCCGTGGAACTGGAGCAGCCCCTGAGCCCTGAAGGATGAAGCAGCTGGATTTCCCTGATGGCCCTACATGGCCTCTTCTGCCTTGAGGAAGGGGTTGTGTGCCTCACAGCTTGGCAGGATTTTTTCCCCAATGGTATCATTTGGGTCTAATAAAAGACATTACATCTTCCCCCAGCCATGGGCTCTTGTATTCCCCATGCACTGCAAACAGGGGCAGGAGCCTCAGGCAGCTGTGCCTCCAAGGCTCTGGGGTGTTTGTATGAGCTTGGAGTCACCCACCAGGTTCTCACGGGCTGGGGTGTGGGACCTGTTCTCTTAAGTAGGGGGGAAGTGGTGACATGGTGGGAAAACTGCTCCAGTGTACAAAGTATAAAAATCATGTCCTGAAGGAGCTGGATGTTGGAGAGGATGGGATTTGGCCAATGCTTCAGCAGGAAAAGGGTGGCAGGTGATTTTTCTGCTGGGGAGAACAAATTTACAGGATGGGAGCAACAGATTTAGAGTCAGGGTAGGTGGAGAAACTGATGTAAAATCTATGTTCTCTGTGTGGATTTTGCACACACATTTTTGTATTCCAGTACTCAAAGGTCATCACCCTTACGTGCATGCCTTGAGAGCAAGGATTTGGAGGAGAGAGGAGATCTGGGCACAAAATCTTCCTCTGCTATTCTAGTTGGGCTGTACTCAATTTGTTATCAAAATAATTTGCTAAACATAGACTAGGGCTGGAACTTAAAGGCAGCCAATGTTTTCCTGGACTTTCATGTTGATTGCAAGAGCAAATTATCTGGTGAATAAATTCTTATGAAAGGGTTTGATGATGCTCTCAGATCACAGCTTTGCTTCTCCCTTCTGTCTCCACTGGGAAACCTTTGCAGTTGCTTGTGTGACCTGGCCTGAACCCGGCAAGAACTCCTGGATCTGGGCAGGTCCTGGCACTGCTGCTGGTGGCCACATCACTGTGGATGCTCTGTTGATGATGTTGGGGTTTTTCCTTGTCTTTCCCCATCACCTTGCTGACACCTGTCATGACACGATGGTGGAAGCCCTGGTTCTGATGGAAGCAGTGAAGCCAGACAGCCCGGCTGGTTTGTGTTTCAGCAGCATGGCTGGGATTCAGGTGGGGATGTTGTTCAGCCTTCCCTGCCGCTCGATTTAGCAGGGGTGTCGGGTTTCCCGGGAATGGGCCGGCTTTGGCCCCGCTGGGCCTCCCTTCCCAGGGTAAACGTAAAGGTTAAAGTGTGCTGCCGCAGTTGTGACAACGGCGTCGCCAGGGAACAGCGTGCTTGAGGCGCTGCCAGACAGCCCCAGGACAGGCTGTTTCCCAGCTGTAGCCAATGTAGGCTCTGGCTTAAGTTCCTGAATGGGAAGGGAGAAAAAAAACCCCAAGCCCAGGCTGAGAAGCCTGGGTGGTGGCTGGTTTGCAGAGCCCCAGGGCACTGTGCTGCTCCCTGGGCGTGTGGGTTTGGGCCAAGGCATCTGAAATCCTGGGGTGGAACAGATACTGCCCTTCAGTTCTACAGTTCCTTCTTCCCAAAGGACTGATTTCAGCTTATTTCTTTCTGCCCACAGATGAATTTTACCTGTTATAATGCCAAACCATAGTCCCCCGTTGCCCCTGGAAACCATGGCTCCCCAGTACCCTTACCCAGGGCTTTGCTTCCTCCCCTTGTGCCAAGGGTTTGTGCCCAGACCAGCCTTGCTCCCAGGGAGTGTGGAAGATTGCAGGCATCCCAGAAAGGCTGGCTGGTGTCCAACTGCTTGCTCCTGCTCTCCTTGGAGAATTTTATCCCAGTGTCCACCACACCGAGAGCTCCAAGGGGGCTGTGGGGCATGGCTCTGGCTCATGCCTGGGCATGGATGTGCTTCTTCCACCTTGCCAGGAGGGTGCAGAGCCAAAGGCTGGCGGAGTGGTGGCAGTAATATGCCTGAAGTGGCACTGGTGGCCTCCAGGTGCCTGGCAGCCCAGCTGGAGGAGGAGAGAGGCAATTCCAACTGTGTGTTGGCAATGACAGTCGATGGGCAGGGGCCCCGCTGGCCAGGCACAGCATCTGGCCAGTATTGCTGACTGTGGCCCTGCAGAGGCCAAGGTGGGGACTCCCACTCATCACAGGAGTGGTGGCTGTGCCAGGGCTGGGCAGCGTGTGTGTCATTGTCACCAAGAACTGTGGCTGCTGGTGATGCTCCAACCTCTGCTTGTACCCAACTGCATGAACACGTCAGTGAGCTGGAGCTGTGTGCCTGCTCCTGCATTATCCCTGCTGGTGCTCATCACATGCCAACTCCTGCCATGGATTTCAGGAAAGGAGCTGAAGCCACAAATCCCAGCTGTGAAGGCTGGAGTGGGACAGTTCCACATCTGCTCAGGAGTTCCTGGCTGTATCCCACTGAGCAAGTGTTGCTCTTGTATTGAGCTGTTGATGGTGGGTGCCTCAGGCCAGCACAGGGACAGGTGGGACAGCAGCACCTCAAGGACAGGAACAGCTGTGCTCCCATCCTGGCTTTTCTCAGTTTCAATGCCACATGGGAACCCCAGGCTGTGGCACACAGGGGCTGGTGGCTCACTGGGAGCTGGGATTTGCCAACGTGGAGCAGCAGCACTGCTTGAGCAGTGTTCATCCTCCTGAGAGGTGCTGCAGGCAAAGTGAGCACTGCTCTTGTGGGGTTGCTGCTGCTTTTTGGTGGCATTAATTCAGCTCCATCATAGATGGCATTGGCCAGGGCAGCCTCCCCACCTCCTTTGCTGCTGTAGCCTCCAGCCCTGCCACAGGTAAGGTTTAAACGAATGAGAGAGCAAAGCAAGGTTTAAGCAGCCAGGTTTGGTGTCTGGCAGGACCTGGGCTCTGTGTGGCTGTGGGGAGCTGGGGCAGGACCAGGCTGGCAGCTGGCAGAGGCTGAGGCTGGAGGAGCCCAGGGTAACCTCAGCCTCCCCGGGGGCACCTGGCCAGCCTGGGCCTGGGGAGAGTCACACTCCTCCAGCAAAGGCCAGGATTCAGCCCCACACAGTGCCTGAGGTGTGTCCTGGGGTGCAGCACCCCAGAAAGAGCTGGCAATGCCTATGCAGCACCCATGCACACAGCCCAACCCCGCTGGAGCCTCCAGCTCCTCTGTTTCTTTCCCTGATTCTCAAAACACTTGATTTTGCAGAAAATAAGTCTTTCAAATGGTTCCTAGGGAAGGCTGCAGCTGCTGGCCAGTGCCCAGCTCCCAGCTGCTGCCACCTTCATCAAGGCCCAGTGGCAGTGCCCAGAGGTGCCACATCATCCCCACAGAGCCCAGAGGGCCAGTGCCAGTGGGCAGAGCTGGCCACAGCTCACCAGCACCATCACCAGCTGCTCCTGCCCGCCATCCCCATGGGCTGGCCAGTGGCCACCTTGTGTCACCTGTGGGCACCCTGGAGGGCCTTAGCCACCTGAATCCTGCCCAGCTCACCCAGGCCACCCCCATGGGATGGTTTTGGGGTGCCACTGTGCCCAGTGCCAGCCCTCCCTGTGGTGCTGTGCTGGAGCAGGAGGCGAGTCCATCCCTGCCCCATGTCTGCGTGTCCCTGGCCCACGGGGGACAGGCGAGAGTGGCGTGTCCTTTGAACGGGCTCCAGCAGGAACAGGTGCTGGGAAAGGCGCAGTGGGCCGGCTCCTGCCGCTGTAAGGGATCCTCCTCTGCCCTGTTAATCCGGCTCCGTTACAGCCGGCATAGAAGAGGCCGCTCCCCCCGGCGCTGCCACAGTGCGGATGCTGCCCCGCTGACCGCCCGGGCACCGGGACCCAGGTAACGGGGCCGGGGGGGCTGATCTGGGGTGGGGTGATGGGGGGTCCTGCGGGCAGGGGAGCCCCCAGGCCTGGGAAGAACACCTCCATCCCCACGGGCTCCCTGTGCTGAGCTGTGGGATGTGGGAGCGCTCACCAGGGACTGCTCTGCCACAGCTCCTGTTCCAGCAGAGCAGCAGCAGCTTCCCTGTCACTGGGGTGGTCACTCCTGAGTTTGTTCTGGGGCTGGGCTGTGCCGGGCTCTGCACGGCTGCACAGGGAGGTGCTTGGGACAGGGTGAGGAGAGATGACCGGGTACAGGAGGGCAGAACAGCCCAGGGGATTTGGGGATCAGGGGCTGGGCTGGAGGCCAGTGCAGGTACAGGCACCAACAGGCTGTTGGTGGAGCTGGGTACCCCTGGGCCGGGGGACGAGCAGCGCTGCTGCTGGGTGCCCTGAGCAGATGGGTTTGCCTGCATGGCTGCAGCTCCTGCGTGCTTCAGGGGGAGCGGTGGTGGGGCCGTGCCGGGAATGCTCATCTCTCCTGCTCCCCACTGCCAGCCCGGGGCCAGAGCCGCTGTCTCCTGCCCTGCCACGGTGGGATGTGGCCTTAAATTGCCCCCCTGGCCGCGCCGCGCTGGCTGCTCGCACGGCGGAGGCCGCGGGCACCCGGTGACAGGTGCCGGGTCAGGCCATCGATCAGTCACCGCGGGCAGATATCGGGGCACAATGGGACCGGCTCTGCTGGCCACGTGGGGTCCCTGGCTCGGTGCCACCGGCCCGGGAGCCGCGGGCGGGGCGGCGGGGACACAGTTCCCGCTGTATGGCAGCCGCTCATCCCTGCATGGCAGCCGCTCATCCCTGCAGGAGCAGCGCTCTGCCCGGGTCCTGCCGTCCCCTCTGCAGGGTGTCGGCTCCGGCGAGCCCTCAGCTGCCGCTTTCTGTCCCGCAGGAGCCTCTCCGAGCCGGGAGCACCGCAGGGCAGCCTGATCCTGCCTGGAGCGTCCCATGGAGCAGGGTGGAGGCACCGGCGGGGCTGCAGGGGCAGCACCCCCCGAACCCGAGGGCAGCGCAGCCCCCGCAGCTCCCCAGCCCCAGGCGGGGACAGCGCCAGCCGCCACCGGGACACAGGACACCGGCACGGGTGGGCCTGGGCAGGAGAAGGCTGGAGGAGGGACGGCAGAGCCGGAGCAGGAGGCACCTCTGGCTGCTCCAGAGCTCCGGGATGGACGGGGAGCAGCTCCAGGAGAGGAGGATTCGGCTGTGCTGTGTGATGGAGGACAGGCAGCAGCTGATGAAGGGCAGGCAGCATCCACCGGGGAGAAGGTGCCGGCTGCCACTGAGGCCCAGGGTGCAGGGAAGGGCGAGAAAGAGAAGCCTGGGAAGAAGAAAGCTCCAGCTGCTGCAGGGGAGGTCAAAGGAGGAAAGGCTTCAGCTGCTGCAAAGGCTGAGGATGGAGGGAAGGATGAGCCCATGGAGGGGAAGGACCTGGCTGAAACTGAGGCACGGGATGGAGGAAAGGACAAGCCCAAGAAGGAGGAAGCACCTGGTGGGTCAGGGGCTGAGAGTGCTGGAAAAGCAGAGTCCACTGAGGAGAAGGCTCTGGCTGCAGCAAACTCTGAAGAAGGAAAGGCAAAACCTGTGGAGGAAACAGCCTTGGCTGCAGCTCAGGCTCAGGATGGAGGAAAAGGAGAGCCTGCAAAGGAGAAAATCACAGGGGTTGCAAAACAGGAGGTCCCAGCCACTGCTAAAACTCTGGATGAAGGGAAGCAAGATGCAAAAGCAGAGCAAGCCCCGGCTGATACCAAGCTTGCAAAAGATAAAACCACAGCTGCTGCAAAGGAGAAGGCCCTGAATGCTGCAAAGGCTCAGGATGGGAAGAATAAAGTGGTAAAGTCAGAAAAAGCCCCAGCAGTTAAAAAGGCCCCAGATGAAGGCAAAGAGGAGCCCACAAAGGAGAAGCCTCCAGCTCCGGGGAAGGAAAAAGCCCCAGATTCAGTGAAGGAGAAAGCCCCAGCTCCAGTGAAGGAGAAAGCCCCAGCTCCAGTGAAGGAGAAAGCTCCAGCTTTAACTCCTGCAAAGGAGAAAGCCCCAGATGCTGCTAAGGCTCAGGATGGAGAGAAGACAGCAGCAAAGGCAGAGAAAACACCAGCTGAAAAAATGGCTCAAGGTGGAGGCAAAAAAGAGCCTGCAAAGGAGAAGTCCCCAGCAGCTGTGAAGGTGCAGGATGGAGGGAAGAAAACTGCAAAGGTGGAAAAATCCACAGTTGCATCAAAGGCTGGGGATGAAGGGAAAGATTCTAAAAAGGAGAAGGTCCCGGCTACTGCAAAGGCTCAGGATGGAGGGAAGAAAGCTGCGGAGGTGGAGCCTCCCACGCCTGGAGCAGAGGCTGGGGTTGGGGCTGCAGAGCCCACGGAGGCAGCAGCCATGGCTGTGGTGAAGGCTCAGGGTGAAGGGGAGGAAGTGTCCAAGGGGACCCAGGGACAGCCCCCAGCGGTCCCCGAGCCCCCACGCCCCGCTCTGCTGCAGAGCCTGAGCTGCCCGGCTGCCTCCTGCCACAGGTACCCACACCCTGCTGGGATGGGGGGATCCCCCTCGCTGCTCCAGGGAGCCCTGGGGCCCCTCGGGGTGCTGGGCTCGGGAGCTGCTGCCTGGGCTCTGCTCACCTCCCACTCCTGCTTCCAGGGAGGAGCAGCCCTGGGCAGAGATGGAGACAATAGAAGAGGAGACCACAACGGAGCCAAAAGAGGGTCCAACAGAGCCTGGCCACGGCCCACCAGCCCAGGGGGACCTGCAGCCCCTGGAATGCCCTGGTACCCCTCAGGAGAGGACATTGCCCAGTGCCCCAGGGCAGCCCCCAGACCCTGCTGGGGTGGTGGAGCAGCCTGGACCTGGGGTGGAACCGTCTTTGACAGAGGCAAAGCCACCCCCCAGCCCCTACCTCACCCCCGATTTTGGGAAGGAAGACCCTTTTGAGATACTGGGTAAGGTCATGAGGTACCTGCCTTGTCCTTATCCCCTGGACACTCTGTGGAGTGACAGCCTGGGAACCCCTGCCCTGCCTGCTGCCCACACTGCCCTCCGTGCTGCCAGCTCCTGTCCTTGGCTTGTCACCTGCCTGGTGGCCTCCGAGCTCCCCTTTCACTGTAAACAGGGCTAAATACGTCGCGTCCCCTCCTGGCCTGCTCTGGCCACACTGACTGTGAGGAAGAGGAGCCTGGAGAGTGACAGTCACTGTCTGGCTGGTGGCAGGGGACAGCATGTCCTCATATCCTGCACCACTGTCCTTGTGGGGATGGCAGGGCTTGGGGCAGTGGGTGTTTGTGGGGATCCCTGTGAGACTGGGTCCTGCTCTCCCCTGGGAAAAGGAGGCTCAGGAATGTGTGCAGGGGGTGCCCTGTGAGGGGGGTCTGTCCTGGGAGGGTGAGCAGAGGGTGGTGGCGTGGAGGGGGATTGGTCTGGAGAGGGTGACAGACAGTGACATGGCCTGGAAAGGGTAAATGTGACATGTGGGTTGGTCAGGGTGGCTGTGGAGTAAGGTGGGTGCCATGGAGCAGAGTGCCATGGAGGGGAGTGGGTGCCATGGAGCAGGGTTGGTGCCATGCATCTGGGCAATGCTGTGGGCAATAATGAGGGACCCTTCAGGTGTTGCTGCATCATCCAGTGCATCCCCAGCCAGGAGCCTCTGGCTCACAGCCCAGCACTCAGTACCTGGCCACATCCTGCACCCACAGGCTTGGCTGGGTGCCTGTCTTCACTCCAGGGCAGGGCAGCCCGGGGTACCCAGAGTGGGGTCCCTGCACAGCAGATTCCCTGCTCAGCTCCTCCTTTGTCTTTGGCAGACGATGTCCCCCCGCCGCCAGCGCCCTTCACCCACCGCATCGTCACCCTGCGCTCGGCCAGCGTCAGCTCCCAGTTCAGCCTCAGCTCCAAGGAGATCCTGGGCGGGTAAGGAGGGGCCCCAGTGCTTCTCCTGGCACTGTCCCACTGTCCCTCCAGCCTTGGGCAGTGGCCTTGTGTTGGTGGCACTCCTCTGGTCACGATGGGTGGGTGCCTTGGGCAGCCAGAGCAGCACCACAGTGCGGTGTGAGGGTCCCCAGCAGCCTGGGGGCTGATGGTGGGGGCACTTCTCCCTCTCTCCCTTCCTCCTTCTCTCCACAGGGGCAAGTTTGGTGAGGTTCACACGTGCACAGAGAAGGAGACAGGGCTCAAGCTGGCAGCCAAAGTGATCCGGAAGCAGGGAGCAAAGGACAAGGTCTGAACGATGCCGGGCAGGTGGTGGCAGTGTTACACTCTGTGTGTCCCTGGTGCGGGGACACAGCAGGCTGACACCCCACGCTGGGGCTCCTTCTGCAGGAGATGGTGCTGCAGGAGATCGATGTCATGAACCAGCTGAACCACCACAACCTCATCCAGCTCTACGACGCCATCGAAACCCCCCGGGAGATCATCCTCTTCATGGAATAGTGAGTGCCTGTGCCTGCCCTGCGGCTGTCCAGCCCCAAAATGCCACATCCCACTCTGGCTCTGCTCAGCACCCCGTGGTGGAGCTGGGCAGAGCCCTCAGGAGGGCAAGGAGCTCTGCGGGAGGATGGTTTGGGGCAGGGAGTCCCCCAAAGTGACCCCAGGGTCCATCCCCATGCAGCGTGGAGGGTGGTGAGCTCTTTGAGCGGATCATCGACGACGATTACCACCTGACCGAGGTGGACTGCATGGTGTTCGTGCGGCAGATCTGCGAGGGCATCCGCTTCATGCACCACATGGGCGTCCTCCACCTCGACCTCAAGGTGCTGGGGGTGACAGTGGCAGGGCCGAGGGGGACAGCAGGACACGGGCTGGCTGTGGGAGGGTGCCTGTGGGTCAGCGCTGCTCTGGTGTGGATCAGCTGCAGGACCCATGGGTCTGGGCAGTGGGGATGTCCTGTCTGGGTGGTGGGGCAATGGTCACCCTGTCCCCACAGCCTGAGAACATCCTCTGCGTGGCTGCCACTGGGCACATGGTGAAGATCATCGACTTTGGGCTGGCTCGAAGGTGAGGTTTTCTTCCTCAGCTCTGTCCCTCCTCCCTCTTCTCCTTCCACCCTTCATCTCTGTGTGCCTTTGGGTACCAGGAGCCCCAAGACCTGCTCCAGGCCACTACTTTGGCCACAGCACTGACTAGCTGGGGAGGGCAGCATCTGCTGAGAGAGGGGCAGGGGTTTGGGGGAGCAGCCTGTCCCCCTTGTGCTGACTTGCACCCCTCCTTGGCTGCAGGTACAATCCCAATGAGAAGCTGAAAGTGAACTTTGGCACCCCTGAATTCCTGTCCCCTGAGGTGGTCAACTACGAGCAGGTCTCCTACACCACGGACATGTGGAGCATGGGCGTCATCACCTACATGCTGTAAGTCTGGGCTGGCAGGGTCTGGCAGTGCCATCTGGGCAGCTCTGGTGCTGGGGCACAGCCCCCCTGGGTGCAGGGCTGTCCCCAGACACCTGGCTGCTTGGTGGCAGGTGGGGATCCTGGGTGGGGCTGGGGGGCAGGAAGAGGCTCAGCCTGGCTGCAGGCAGGACGGTGGCAGCACTGCCCTGGAACATCCATCCCTGGCCAGGTTGGCTCTGCTCCAGGGGGTCTGCGAGGTGCTGAAGCCTGAGAGCAGCTGACTCCTCACCTCTCTCACCCCCAGGCTCAGCGGCCTCTCCCCCTTCTTGGGTGACGATGACACCGAGACACTCAACAACGTGCTGGCTGCCAACTGGTACTTTGATGAGGAGACCTTTGAGAGTGTCTCCAATGAGGCCAAGGACTTCGTCTCCAACCTCATCATCAAGGATAAGAGGTGTGAGGCTGGCAGGGGCCGTGGGGTCCTGGGATGGGCATCCCCAGAGCTGGCCCAGGTTCCAAATGCTGCCTCTTCACCAGGGCCAGCAGCATCCCCTGGGTCCAGCACTGAATTAACTCCATGGAGGTCTGTCCCCAAAGAGCCCTGTATCCCTGTAGGGACACCTGTCCCAGGCAGGATGTGCTGGATCCCTCACATCTTGTGTGACTGCCTCACCAGTCCCTGGGCACATTCTCCCATCTGGTTCTCCCCTTCAGGGTTATGGGGTTTGGGGGCTCTGGAGTGGCTGGAGAGGGGATTGGTTGGGGCTGAGGGGCTTGAGCAGGGTTGAAGCAGTCTCATTTCTCTCCCAGTGCCCGGATGAGTGCTGACCAGTGCCTGCAGCACCCCTGGCTCAATAACCTGGCAGAAAAGGCCAAACGCTCCAACCGGCGCCTCAAGTCCCAAGTGCTGCTCAAGAAATACGTCATGAGGAGGCGCTGGAAGGTGCGGGGTCCGGCAAGGGCACGGGGGTCAGCAGCTTCTGAGGGGGCTGGGAGGGGCTGCCAGGTTCTGCCTGTGCTGGTGGGTGGCATCTGGAGCACAGAGAATGGCTCTGTCTCACTGTGCTGCTGGCAGCTGGGACACGGGGCTGGGGACCCCTGGGCATGGATGCCCCTGAGGTCACACCCCAATCAAGCACAGGTCCCTTTGGGGTGGTTATTCCTGAGCTGATCCCAAGAGCAGGTTTTAGGGGCAGGAGTAGAGTCAGGCCCCAGAGCTGGGTCTGGCTCAACCTTCAGTGCCACAGCTCTTGCCAGAGGATGAGAATCTTTCCTCTTTCCTTTCACAGAAAAATTTCATCGGGGTGTGCGCTGCCAACCGCTTCAGGAAGATCACCAGCTCAGGGTCCCTGACAGCGCTGGGCATCTGAGCTGGGCTCCCAGGGGAGCCGAGGCCAGAAAGGAACCACTTGAGAGGGACCCCCACTCTGAGAGGGACCCCCACCAGTCTGGAGCAGCTCTGTCGAGCTGGTCCCACTGCCCTCAGGACCGCATCACTGCTCGGTCTCAGACTGTGAGGCTGCTCCGGAGTGAAGGTTTCTGATCTCAGCTCTGGCCCTGGCCTGGCTGCGTGATGCCCGACCTGCAGCATCTCTGCTCTGCTCACGCTTCCTTCTGGTGCCCTCGGAGGAGGAGCAAGGCCATTCCGGTGTGATCCCGCTGCCTCGGCCGCCTGGCGCTTGCTGCTTTTGGACTCTGCCTGTAAATGCCGCAGCCCTGCCTGCCCTCGCTGCCGCTGGCCCCTGCTCTGCCCGACCTCCCTCCCCAGCTCTGTGGCTCGGCGATGATGCTGGAGGGCACCGCGGAGCCTCACCCCGGTGCTTTGGCAGCGGAGCCGGGGCTCAGGCACCTCCTCCCGGCCAGCTGGGCATGTGGGAGCGGAGCTGGCCCCGAGCGCTGCTCGCACAGGAAGGGAGGAAGCAGCAAGCACGCTTCCAGCGGCGTCCCCAGCTGGGAGCCAACGAGGAAAGAAGGAGGCTTTGTGTTCCTGCTGCCCTCCCTGCCCTTCGGTTCTGCCAGCGGGGGAAAAACACAACCTCTGCTTCACCCGTCCGCGGCAAATAGCGATGAGCGAGGCGGGCTAATGCAGAGCAGCTGGGCCGCGCTCCCGCTCCGGCCGGCACCGCTCACCCGACCACCAACACAGCGGAACTGCTCGGCCGCCAGCTCCCCGCCCGTGCGGGGGCTCCGCGGGACCGCCGGGACCGGGAGAGGGGAGAGAGGCGCTGCCCCAGCTCCCGAGCCTTGTCCCGAGCCCCGTCCTCTCTGCCTGCACCCCTCAGGCCGCCCCGTGCTGCCAGAGGATGGGCATTCCCCGGGATTTGCAGCATCCAGAGGATGAGCATTCCCCGGGATTTGCAGCATCCAGAGGATGAGCATCCTCCGGGATTCGCAGCATCCAGAGGATGGGCGTCCCCTGGGATTTGTAGCCTTGCCCACTGCAGGAGGGGATGGGGTCCCCCAGCTTTGGCTTTTGCCATGTCTGAGCCCCCCAAGCCAAGGCTGTGTGTTTGCTCTGGAGCTGCCTCTGCACTTTGTGCCTGCTGGAAAAACACTGGGGAGAGACACGGGGAGACATTGCTGCTCACCCCACATGGCTGCAGCAGGGGAAGGGGCTTCAGGCTCGTCCCCAGCGGGCAGGAGCCACGGCTGGTGGGACCCTGCCCCATCATGGAGCTCTCCACAGCGCTCGCCTTCTTGTAAATAAATGTACAGGTCTGCCCAGAGCCCACAGCTGCATCTGGGGGCTGGGGAGGGCCTGCTCCCACCGGTGGGGCCTGACAGTGAGGTGAGGTGAGGATGGGAAGCAGAATCTCATCTCTGTGGTAGAGGGAATGGGTCCGGGCTGTGCCGTGCACAGGGACCACCTGGTACGGCCTGGGCAGGGCTGTGCAGGCACAGTGCCAAGGGTTTCTACACACCCAACAGCTCTGAGCAGCCCGGGGGGATGGGGGGAGGGAAGGCGACTGCATGGATGGGTGGATGGATCCGCTGTCAGTCAGACGTGTCCTCACATCTTCAGCATCTGTCTGTATCGGGTGGGATGCCCAGGCAAGGGCGGGTGGGACCTGGTGTCCCTTTGCCCAGGGGAGCTGTGGCTGGCCCTGAAGTGGTTAAAGCTGCCACAGCCCGGACTCCGGCGGCCGCAGGCGTCCCTCCCAGCCGCTTCCTGCCGGCAGCCTTTGACCGGTTCCTGTCGGTGACCACCCCGCAGGCCTGGACGCCAGCGCAGCCCCATCTGGTTTGAGTTACGCTCCACGGCGGTGACGTCTCCTTCCTGCCTGGCCCCAGGAGCCGCGATCGCCCCGGTCCCGGCCCTGGCCCCGCCGGCCCCAGGGGCTGCAGGCCCCTGCTCTGGGGTGGCCACGGGGCTTCCAGATGGAGCATCAGCCCCGGACACTGCTGGCACCCTGAGCTGCTGTAGGGGATCGGCCCCTGAGCACAGCCCTGTGTGTGCAGGTCTGCAGCAAGAGGATGCACAGACACCAGCATATGCCAGCGTGTGGGACCCCTACCCCACAGCCCAGTTTGGTTTCTCCAGTCCCCTCCTTCCTACCCTGGGACCCTCCAGAGACACACACTGGGGCTGGATGAGTGGGGCCACAGGGCAGACACCCATGGAAGTAGCTGTGATCCCATCCTGTGCTCCCAGCTGACAGCTCATGAGCTCCTGAAGCTGCTTGGAGTGAACAGGTCCTACTGGGGCCAAATGCTCCTGGTCCAGCCCAGGCCAGGACAGCCAGGTCCATCCCTTATGTGTGGGGTCCTCATCACCCCCAGGGGTGCAGTCTGGGTGTGCACACGAGTGTCCTCAGCATCCGTGCATGGAGCACACACATTCCCCAGGCACCCGGTCCCTGTGGCTCCCACCCTGCCTGCAGAAACGAGAAACAAACACTCCCCAGGCAGTGCAGGGAGGGAAGGGCAGCGGGCTGAGCTCCGGCAGCAGCAGCAGGTTCGCCCCGTGACCGGGCGCAGCGAGTCCCGTTCGCGGCACGGCCCGGGATGGGAGCGGGCGAGCGGGCGGGGAACCGGGGCCACCCACAGCGAGCCGGGAGCGAGCCAGGGAGGAGCAGAGCCGGGAGAAGAGCGTGTCCGTGACCGGCAGTCGGGGTGAGGGCGGGCAAGGGGAGCACGGGGAGAGCGCACGGCTCTGATCCTCACTCCCGGGCAGTGCGGGACGCGAGTGCCCATCCCCAGCGGCTGCTGCAGCCCGGGGACAGCGGGACGCGCCGCATTTCTCCCAGCACAGGGAGCCCATCGGGGCACAGCGTGAGGCCGGGGCCGCGCGTTCCCAGCCGCGGCGGGCGGTGGGCCCGGCCACGCTGCGTGGGAACCAGACGGCCCCGGGCACGGCTGCGGCGCTCGCTTCCTCCCGCGCCCCCGGGGACCGCGCGAAGGAGGGGGCTGAGGTCAGCCGCGCTCGCCGCCCGCCGCTCCGGAGACGCCAGCATGATGTAGGCGCTCAAATATTGTTTTCCACTGGGCAGGGGAAAAAAAAGCGAGTAAAGAGAGGCCCAGGGCTGAGTGGCGGTCCCCGATGATGAAGGGCGGCCCCCCTGCCCTGCCCGGGGCTGGGACGCAGCCATGGCCCAGCAGCAGCCGTCTGGAGGCTGATAAGAGAGCTGACGTGGTGCTCCCGGTCCCCGAGTGACGGCAGTGTCCTCCGGGCCAGCACGGCCCCCGCAGGGACCCCCGAGAGTGGCCAAACTGGAGTCCCCTGGCCTCGGGGAGCTGGGGGGACTGACACAAATTTGGTCCTCACATCAGCACGGAGAGCCCCTGCCAGCCCTGTGTCTATCCTGGGGCTGGCTGTGCCATCGGGTCTGGGTGTTGCTGCTCCTGGAGAGCTCCCTCTAACAGGGATGGGGGGTGCAAGCGCAGCCCCCCACTTTGCCAGCACCACTCTGGCCCCACTCCTGTGCTCAGAGATGCTGACTCGGGTGTCCCAGTGCTGTGTGGGAAGGGGCTGGTGGCCAGGCCCCATCCTGGGGCTGTGTGGAGGCCCTGCTCACTCCAGTGTCCCCCATTTGGGCCAGTTGGGGCATATCCCTGTGCCCAGCCCAGTGAGAGCAGCGGTGACTCAGCTGGTGCCTCTCCACTGGCAGCCACCCTGCATGATTCAGGTCACAGGAATCCACTTTCCTGGCTGTTCCCATCAGAGCTGCAGCCCCTGGCACAGCCCATCTTTGGGGCTGCCCTGCTCTCAGGGTCTGCAGGGACCAGTTGGAATTCCAGCCAAGCACTGACACAGCCACAAGCAAGGACAGGGAGGGGAGGGAGCCCTGTCCCCCCCCATAGCAGAGTCTCCACACTGTGCCACAACACCTGGTGCCTCCCCGCAGTCTCTCTGGGTCCATCTGCAGGGCCACACACTGAGGCTGGTGCCACTTGTGCCACATGTGACATCCTGTGAACAACCAGGACCTTGGAGGGGTCCCAGGCCCAAGAAGGTGGCAGTGGGGCTCCACTGGGGGATAACTTCTGCTGCAGCTCATCCCCCTGACCCCCAGGGACAAAGTTCCCTTGTATTGCCATGGGATGGCACTTCAGGGGCTCCTGGCTCCACAATGTGGCAGAACCTTGTCCCCAGCATCTCCCTGGGACACAGGACCGGGGTGTAGGTGCCCTGACCCAGGCCATGCCCTGTCCCCACATGGCCTCACGATCCAGTCAGTGACCACTGATGGAGGGACTGGTGGGGACGGAGCCTGTGCCACGTGGCCTTGGGCACCTGTGTCCCCCATCCAGCACCTGAGCTGGGGCTGAGCGTCCCCAGCTTGCCCCTGCCCACTGCCCCCCTCGAATGGGGCACAGAGACCACAGAGGCAGCGTTAGGGAACGTTGCTTTATTAGGAGCTGGGTTGTGCCGGAGTGGGGAGTCCCTCACTCGAAGAAGAACATGCCGGGTGTGCGGTAGAGGCAGGGAGGCAGCCCCAGGGGGTACCCATTCCCCCCCTGCAGTGGGATCGTGGTCCCTGGCCCCCAGGGCTCCTTCTGCTCACCTGCCCGCGGCCCCATGGCCCCGAAGGGCGGCTGCCGGGGGGCGCTGGAGGCCGGGGGCGCCGCGGCCAGGAGATGCTCCAGCGCTGCTCCGCAGGGCCGCTCCTTCACGCAGAAGCTCAGCGCCTGCACCCGGCACTGGTAGCTGCTGCCCAGCGCCTCGGGGCCCGGCCGGCTGAAGGAGCCGAACACGGGCAGGTGGGGCTGCGTGTAGCCCTCTCCCTCCAGGAAGCAGGATGGGGGCGGCTTGCCCGTGCCCAGGAGGCTGCCAGGGAACGCAGGTGGCACCTGCCCGAACGGCTGGCACGGCCCCAACCCATGGGCAGCCAGCTCCTTGCCCTCCAGCTGCTCTGGGGGGGTGTCTGGGGTGGCCGGCGAGTCCTGCGGGGGGTCCCTGTGCTGGGCGGGCAGCAGGGCGGGCAGCAGGGCAGGGTGCGGCTGCTGCTGGGCCGGGCGCTCGCTGGGCAGTGGGTACTGACCTGGCCGGGGCAGCTGCAGCGCCGCCGGGAGCCCCCCGAAGACAGTGTCCCTGGGCGGGCGGCTCTCGGGGGGCGACAGGAGCGGCCCCTTGGGCTGTGCCACCTCCGGCAGGTACAGGCACGGCTGCCTGCCCTTGGGCGGCTGACGGCGGGCCCAGGGCTCGGCGCACCCCGGCACCCCGGCGCCCTCAGGGAGAGCGGCAGGGCTCGGCAGGCGTCCTGCGGCCGGCGGCGAGCTGTAGCCCCCGTCTGCCTTGCCCTCCTCCGGCAGCGGGGCAGCGGGCAGCCCTTGCCCAGACTGCCTGGGGGTCTTCCCGCGCCCCTCGTCCCCCTCAGTGCCCGGCGCATCCCGGAGACCCTTCTTCCTGGTGAAGCGCCGGCGGCGCCGCAAGAAGCTGCCGTTCTCGAACATGTTGTAGCAGTCGGGGTCGAGGGTCCAGTAGTTGCCCTTTCCCGGCTTCTTGTCGTCACGGGGCACCTTGACGAAGCACTCGTTGAGGGAGAGGTTGTGGCGGATGCTGTTCTGCCAGCCCTGCTTGTTGTCGCGGTAGAAGGTGAAGCGGCCCATGATGTAGCGGTAGATGCCGCTGAGGGTGATGCGCTGCTCGGGCGCGCTCTGGATGGCCATGGTGATGAGGGCGATGTAGCTGTAGGGTGGCTTGGTGGCCTCGGCGCTGGGGAAGGCGCCGCCGGCCGGCTCAGGGGCCGGGGGGCTGCGCAGCGCCGCGTCGCCGACGGGGAGGTCCGGCTGCATCCTCCGTGCCGGCCCCGCCGCTCCGGCTCCGCCGCTGGTCCCGCTCCGCGCTGCCGCACGGCCCCGGCACGGCCCGTTAAAACCCGCGGCCGGCGAGGGGGCGGCGGGCCCCTCCTCTGAGGGGCCGCCCAGGGCGGAGCAGGACTCTGCCGTCCAGCGCTGGTCCCTGCGGACAGACAGACGGATGCGCCGCCAAGACCTGCGGCCGGCAGCCAGTGGCCCCGCGGTTGGCACGGCCGCGACCTCCCCAGGGCAGAGGCGGGCACGGCCCCCGGCTCCCCCGGCCCCTTTCCCACGGAAGGTTCCCACGAGCTGGTTCTCATCCTGCCCTGCTCACGGTGAGCAGCCGGGCTCTGGCTGGGCCTGGAGCGAGGGATGTTGGCAGGACTGAGGTGCTGCCTGCCCTCAGATGCCCCTCTGCCCCTGCCCACCCTAGTGCCTCAGCCCCTGCCCACAGCCTGGCCTTGTGCGGGATCCTGTGCCAGGTCTCTCTGTATTGCCAGGTCCCTGCATTGTTCCCAAAGCTCTGGGCACAGCACAGGCCCCAGGAGCCCCATCACACCATTCATGAGTGTAAACTGACACACAGGTGCTGACTGCCTTTGGGACAGCCCTCTGTGACCCCTTGCCAGGCCAGCAGAGCAGCTAACAGGCACTTTGCTGCTGCCTTCACCCCTGCCAGGGGGTTGGGACAAGGGGCAGGATGGGTCTGGAGCCAGTGCTGGGACAGGGGTTGTCTCATGCTGTGGCTTTGCCCATCTGAGGCTATCTGGACTCAGCTTCCTCAGCCACCCGTGCTCTGCCTGGACCAGCACCAGCCCCCCACCCCAGAGCCAGCCCCCAACACCCATACGAAAAAACAACCTTTATTTCTAAGGTTTGCAACAGCGAGTCCTGGCAGTGCAAGGTGAAAGGACAGAGCCAGGTCTGCCCTGGCTTGCTGAATAGGCACACAACCAACCCCACCTGGGAGATTCCTGGGGAATAAATACAGCAATCACAGGGGCAGCAGCACCTGCCCACCCAGCTAACATTTGTCCTTGTTTGGTCCTGCACGCTGAGCACCCTGAGCACTCTGCCTTGGGACACGCAGCTGGAATGGAGCCATGGGGCTCAGAGCCTCCCACTCTGAGACTTTATGGCAACTGTGCTCTCCTCTCCCACCCAGCTCAGGGCTGGCAGAGCTGTTTGAAGACATGGAGAACGTGGCTGGAGGTGCCAGGGGCACAGGGTTGCGGGGAATTGCAGAGCAGGGTCGGCCTCAAGCGCTGGGCGTGATGGAAGAGCTCCCGAGCGAACACCGGCTCCACCTGCAGAGGCACAGAATGACAGAGGGTGGGCACAGGTCCGTGTCCCTGCCTGGCAATGGTCCCTGGGCCTGGCTCAGGGGTCACCAGCCCCAGTGGGAACTCACGTGAGCCATGATGAGCTTCTGGAAGGGGTGCCCAGCCCTGGTGGGGTATTCCTCCCCGAAGCACAGGTAGATCTGGTACTGAGGCAGGAGCTGCCCGTTGCTCAGGTACTCCCGCACCTCTGCAAGACACCAGCCCTGTCAGGGGACACCAGGCCCTCACAGCCCCATCAGCCACAGCAGGGCAGGCCCTGCCCCTCTCCCCAGGGGATCGGGGTGTCCCAGGCACTTACGCTGGATGTACTGCTGCGTGTCCAGCAGCTTGTAAGTCCTCTCCCTTTCCAGCTTGTTGGGCCAGTTCCTGTGCGGGGCCAGGGGCCCGTTCCAGTACACCCTGCCCTGGCACTGGCGCTTCATGAAGACCCCCTCAGGTGCCACCCAGAGCAGCACCCCGCGCTCCAGGTGGGGCAGCAGCCTCTCCAGCACGTTGGCCATGCAGGCCACGCGGCCGTGGCCGCTGAGCACCTGCGGGGGGGGGAACTGGATCTGCTCCATGCAGGAGGGGCCGTAGAGGCGCTCGCTGTCGGCCGGCACGGCGCTGGTGGTGATGCGGCAGCCCTCGGCCGTGCGCGTGGTCACCTCCTTCACCAGCACGTCGCAGTAGTACAGGCGGATGTGCAGCCAGCAGTCTGGGGCAAAGGGAGGGTCAGTTCAGTTCATGGGCAGTCTGGGCTGGTGGGGTTACCCAGGGCATTGCCTGCAGCATGGCTCCTACCTGAATTGTTGACATCCTCCACAGGGAGGTAGGACTGGGGTCTGGGAAGAAGCTGGCCGTGGGTTGGGTTCCAGCCATAGAAGACTCCCCTGACAAGGCACCCTGGACCAGAGCAGAGATGAGGTGGTAAAAGGACATGGACAATTACCCCAAGGGCTCCCAGGCATTCTCCTGGCCCAAGCCCCTGGGCCCACACTTCCCACTGTGTTTGCTCATTATTAGGCCTCATCATATCCCCTAAGGGAATGGCTTTGCTGGGGTAGGCTCAGCTCCTACCTCAATCCCCACAGGTATTCCCTGCATGAGTGACAGGAGAGCAGGATCCTGGCAGAAGTGAGCCCTCCCTGCCCCTAGCCCCATCCCACCGAGAGGGACCCTCCTCACCTCGCTCGGTGGGGTGGCCAGAGAGCCAGGGCTGTGGAGAGACATGGGCACTCTCCAGCACATCCTTCTTGCTTTCCTCCTTCTTCGGACTCCCTGCAGTGCTGCCCTGGAGGTAGAAGCAGCTTTGGTGAAGGCTGAGCTGGCACTGGGGGATCCTGAGCCAGCTTCTTCCTCCACCATGGACCCCATAAGCCAGCAGATCCCCCCGCTGGGTCTGGCAGTGCGGGGCACAGGGGGCCCTCTCTGAAGCCCCGTGGGACAAATGCAGGCAGTGTGCAAGCAGGGGAGCAGCTGATGGGTGAGGGGGGAATTGAGGGTCCCACCTTCTCCCCTGCCTGGATGGCACAGGGCAGGCTCACCTGCTGGTCCTCACTGCCTGGGGACTGTGTGTCACTGTCCTCTGCAGAGAGCAAGAAAGAACGGGTGAACCCCTGGCAAACGGCAGGAACAGCCCCAGGGAAGACAGCTGGTGTCAAAGGAGTGGGGAGGAAGGGTAATGGCTGTGGGGCACGGGGCTTGTACAGGCAGGGTTCAGGTATGTTCAGCCATCAGCCCCACATCAGGCACAGAAGGAGGGACGGCAGGGATGTACCTGCATCACAGGCTCTGTCAGTCACGATCTGGTACACCTTGTAAGGCTCGGAGATGTCCAGCTGGCTCCGCTCGGGCACCTCCTGGAAGTCAGTGCTCTTGTTGAGGGCGCAGCGCAGCCGCGTCTTCCAGGTGGAGGGGTCGGCCTTGTCCGTCCCTTCGTGGTACTTCCCCTTGTAGATGGCCCAAGCCTGAGGCACAGAGGGACAGAGGGTGCCCTGTGCTGTGGGGGTGCCACAACCTGACCCCGGCTCGGCTGTCCAAGGGGGTCCAGCGCGGTGGGGGAGCCGGGGCTGTGTGTCCAGGGCACTGCGGGGAGCTGGGTGCTGCGGGGTGCCGGGGGAGCACACCGGGAGCCCCGGGAGGGTGCAAGGAGCTGGGCGGTGTGTGCCAGGGGTGTGCATGGAACCGAATCCCAGCGCTGCGCACAGAGCCAGGTCATGGAGAGCCCTGGAGGTGCACATGGAGCTCGGCTGCACAGGTGAGCAGGGTGAGCGGCACCGGGGAGCCCCGGGCAATGGGGAGCCCCGGGAGCGCACACGGAGCCCGGGGGCCATTCCCAGGGCCGGACGGGGACCGCGGGGAGCCCGGGGTACCTTGAAGAGCGCAGCATCCTCCTGCTGCCGGTAATCCTGCTTGGCCGCGTGCTTCCAGGGGATGCGGAAGAGCGTTTTCTGCCGGTTCTCCCAGCGCAGCCCCGGGTACCGGCCGCTGTCGATCTGCGCGATCAGCCACTCCTTCAGCCGCATGGGCGCCCCCGGCTCCGCCATCGCGGCCCGGCGGCGAAACCGAAAGCGGCTCCGGCTTTCACTTTCCCTTTCCCGGCACACGCCGCAGGTTCTGGCTGCCCCAAGGACGGGGGGGACGGTTCTTAAATTTTTTTTTTTCTCTGCTCCACTTTTCCCCGCGCAGCAGCGTCAGATATCCGTGTTCAGGAACAAGTGATGCCGTAATTGACGGTTACAGCAATGGGGAGAGCTGGAGCTGGTGCCTTCGGGAGGGACTCCCAAAAAAGGCATCCCCGAGGTTTCAGATCCTCACAATGTGTGCAGCCATGTACACCAGTGGTGATTTTAGCCTCTTCCCGTTGTTCACTGGCTCCTGCCGAGGCTCTGGGTGATTGACCCCCACCCCGGGAAGTGCCCTTTGTTAGGCAGAGGGTGGGCGCCCATTCCCGGCTCTTGCCTGGGGCTCCAGCCTCTTCCTGCCGCTCAGAACACAATGTGCAGCTCGCACTGGTAATTTACATACCGAGATACCTGCGCTAGGTGTATTTCTCAACACACGCACCCTGCACTCGCGGGAGGGGGGGCAGGCACACTGCATCCACGGCAGAGGGGACAAGGCGCCAGAAGGCACACGGAACTCTCCTGCAGCCCTCCCAAATGCTTTCCCTAAAACTGTCAGGTCTCCCACATGCTCCCCGAAGGGGACAAGGGACTCTACTCCCTTTACTTCGTGCGTTGGGGACCCAGCCGGGCACATCCCAGCTCCAGGGGCTGCGTCCTCCCATGGGACCAGCTGCTCACTCCATGGGTATGGGGAGCTGCAGGGAGCTGCGGGAAGAGCACGGGGTTTCCATGGTGGTGCGAACAGTCACATGTACCCATCTCTCAAATCTCTCCTCTGCTCTACTGCTCACATCTGCCTCGTGGGGCTCTGAATGCCAAGTCGCACGGGAAGCGGGTGGGAAGTGTGGATGAGCTGTGCCAAGGGCTGCCGGGACCAGGGTGGGACACATCCTGCACCAGCTCCCATTGGCCCCCAGCAGCGCACCAGCTGAGTCACTGGGCCACCCTGAGGTGTCACTGGTGCTGGTTCCTCTATCACTGCTGCAGAGCTTCATGTCGCTGTGCAGGGAAACCCTGCTCCTCTGCCCGGCTGCTGCCCCCCAAGTCTCCTTTTGCAGTCACCCAGGTCTCCTTTCCTGCTCTGAGTCAGAGAAAGTCACCTCCGGCCGAGAGGAGGAGCGAAGTTCCTGAGAGCTGCTGGGGCTGCAAAGTCTCCAAATGAATAATCCGTGGCAGAGAGCCCAGTCCTGGGTTTTCCCAGAGGATGTGAGGACAGGGCACAGCCACGTGGCGCAGAGGGCACATGGGGCCACATGGGGTGTGCGAGCGAGCCCCACTGGCAGGCTTTTCTCTCCTTACTGAGCCTGCCCGGGACCCCTTGCCTGCAATGCGAAGCCCAGGCACCACCTGTGCCCTCCCTCCGCGCGAGCTGTGGGACCACGTTCTGGGAAAAGGGCCTGGGAACTGAGGGACAGAGAATCCACATCTCCCCTTTGTGCCTTGGGAAGCAGCGCTGTGGCAAGGAGTCACTGCACGGCCTGATTACATCCAAGGCCGGCAGATAATCGCAGCCGCCGGCTCGTTCGTCAGCCCAGCCCGCCGGGATCAGTTTTATCGGCGGGGATTTCATGTGCTGTGGCAGCCGCCCGCTGACGCAGGACCCGCGGGATCCAATTACCCGGGCATCAGCGGGGAGCTCAGGAGCCACATTCCCCACCGTGTATTCCTCACCCAGCTTTTCCCTTCCTGGGGAAGGTGAAGCTGCTTAACCCTTAAACTTTTCATGCCAAAATGAGCTTCAAAAGGCAGTCAAACATTAACTCGTAGCTAACCCTGCCCTTGCCCGGGTTTTTCCAAGCTGTGTAAATCAGATCTGCCAAAATAAATACATTCTGCTGTGCTGTGGAGCTGGGCTGGAGAGCCCTGTGGGGTTTACAGTGGGAACAGGGGAATCTCTGGGTGCGAACACCTTGGCATAAGGTGTCCCAGTGTGAGAGGGTGCAGCTGTGCACGGGGCACACATCCATCCCAGGTGTGTGATCCTGGGCTGCAGGGCTTCCACCCTACTGGGTGCTGAGGAGGCCAAAGGCTGCTGGACAGCCTGGCCTGGGGCCAAGGGAGGATAGAGGAGCCTGGAAGGAACTGGAAGGAGAGTGGGATGGCAGATGGTGCAGGAGCAGTGAAGGGTGATGAACCCTTAGTGGAGCTCCCAGTCTGCCTGGGTGACCCCAAGGCAGCACCCAGCCCCACAGGCAGATGCTGGCAGCAGGAAGGAAACTTGATATTGAGGCTCTGTCTCCTGGGGGATCCCTTCTCCCTAGAAGAGGGCAGGCAGGGATGAGGGGGACCCCAGAAACATGCTGTGAGTCCCAACAGGGACAATGCTGATGACCCAGCTGGGCATCCTCAGAATTTTTTCCCACTGGAGACTCTGCTCCAGGAAAAGTTGTAAATGTGAGAGGTCTGGGGCCTGTGATACTCAGCTGGTGCCAGGCTCCCAGCACTCCCAGCAGCTGGAGGAGCCTGCAGAGTCCTGGACCTCGTGCTCCTGGATCCAGTGAGTGGACAGGCTAAAGTGAAACAGGCTCCAGGTGAGCTCCCACCTGCTGCTCCCAGCCTCTCCTGGAGCAGAGCTTGTCCCCTGAGAGCCCTGTCCTGGAACTCACATTTCTGGCCTCTCTTGTAACCTTCCCACAAGGCAGCACGGTGAGCCCTGTCGCAGCATGCTGGTGTCCCCAGCCCACTCCAGAGTGTCCAGCAGCAGCTCCAGACTGGTCCCGTGCTGGGACCTTCCCCCTTGGCATCCCCGTTTCAACCTGGCCATCACAGGAGAGTCAGACCACAGAGAAGGGTATTTATTACTGGGGAACATATAAAGTCTTTAAGCAAAATGGCTTAAGGCTCTGCTCTAGTGAGGTCTGGCCAGGTTAAATGCTTGGTTCCCACCTGTTACAGATTGTGCCCTGGGATAGGTGGGAATGGGGTGCAATGGATTCCTAAAGCTACAGTGCTTGCTCAGGGCTTGTGCTTGGCCAGTCTGGAGCTGGACCCTTGCCTGGAAGCCTGTGTGGTGGCATTACCTGCTGGCACACTGGTGTGTCCCTGCTCTGCAGCCACCAGGACGTTGGGAGCTTGTGCTGCTGGTGGGAAAACTGCTCTGAGGGGAGCACCGGCTCTCCTGTGCACCCTGAGGCCATGCAGCGGGTACCCAAGTGCTAAAGCTGTTGCTGGCAACACCTGGGCACTGGCCTGTGGCAGAAGAGACCCCTCTGTGTTCTGCCCCAAGCAGGAGCCTGCAGTGACCCAGGGACAGAGATCTGTGTCCCCAGCACACTGGATGTGAAGAAGATGAGCCCAGCATGTGCTGCAAAGCCCAACAGCGTCCATGAAACCTGCCCAGAGAGAGGGTGGCACATTCCCACCCCAGAAGAGAAGAAGGAGCTGGGCTTTGTGCAGGTTCCTGCCCAGTGCTCCCTGTCCCACTGTGTTGCATCTCCTTCATCTCTCCCAGGCTGTTGGGTGATGCTCACTGCTCTCCCCTGGCCTGGGTCACTTCAGACAAGCCGGGATGCAGGAGAACGTCCTCTTCACCCGCAGCAGGAAGGGACTTGTGCTCCTCATGTCTCTGGCTCTTGGGACCAGTCCTTGCACAGCTCCCTCTGTCCTGGACGTTCCTTCTCTCCCTGCTGGCAGCAAGGCCTTTATTTCTTCCTCATCATTGAAAGGGGACATCCCATACTTCTGCTTCAGATGCCTGCGGACCTGGAGAAGGAGCGAAAAGTAAAATATAATGCTGGTTTACAAGGGCAGGTCCAGCAAGGGGAGCAGGGAAGAAACCGAGTCCCCTGAGGACTTGTCCTTGCTCTGAGGCCCACGGCAGGCTCAGCCACGGAGCAGGGCACAGGTGGCAGAGGTGATCCCACCTTGCGGGCTGCGCTGCCGCTGAACTCGGCCAGCTGCTGCCTGAAGCCGGGGTTGGGGTTGGCCACGGGCCGGATGGTTCGGATGGCATCCAGCACCTCCTGGCAGCTCAGCTCCGTCACAACCATCACGTAGGCAACCACCACCGTGGTGCTGCGGGAGATGCCAGCCAGGCTGGCAAGGGAAAGTGCAGAAAGGCTGCTGTTAGTGGCACACCCTGACCCCATGCTTGCCTCTTCCTCCACCCCTGTGCCTCAGATATTTCAGTTCCTCTTCTCCAAGGACTTGCTCTCCCGGAGGGCTGAGACCTTCCAAGGTCCTGGCCATGAGTGCCTATAAATACCCACTCCTCTAGAGGGAATGGGAGCAGCAGCCACTGCCTGGCTGCCTGCCCCAAACCCTGCTCATCCCATGCACTCAGCTGCAGCAAAAAGCTGCCCCGGCTCCAGGACTGCCTGGATCCTGCTGGGTTTGAGTCACAAGCCACAGCCAAGGGTGGATCCTGGGTGGGTCCATTGGCACAGAGCCCTCTGGCACAGGCTGGCTCTGATCTGAAGTGAGGGGCTGGGGGCTGTATCTGCTGAGTTGGGGGACACAGCTGCAGGCACAGGGGAAGCATTACCAGTGGACGAGGCAGTTCCCTCCATGCAGGCGACACTGATGGATAAAACTGATGCATTCCTTGAAGTGCCTCTTGCTAGCAGGAAAAATAAACCAGACAGAATGAGAACTTCAGGGGTGGAACAGCATTTTTAGCTGCAGGCAGAACAGCCCTGTATGCTTGAGTTGTTTTAGGGGATCTGCCAGCCACTGCTGAGACCTGAACAGCTCAGTGCTGTTTATTCCCAAGGAAAGGTGGATTTGCCAGCTCATTCTGTGCTGGGGACACAGAAGGGGACACTGTGCTGGGGATGCACGGGGCTGCCCTGTGACTTGTGTGACTCATGCTGGGGCAATGGGACGCTGGCTGCTTGAATCTCCAGCCACGCCTGTGCCCTTGGCTGGCTCCATGTCCTTTATGTGCTCTCCCCTCTCCAGACACTTCCTGGGGGGATGCTTGCTGCCCCTCTCCATGGGTGCTGCAGAGTGGCTGCCCCTCACCTCACCCCAGGGCTCACACCCTCACAGCAGCCACTGAACTGGGATGCTGTTGGGGTCAAGGGAAGCTCCCCTGCACTGTGGCATCACATCTCCAGCCTGTGGGTCATTGTGCTGGAGGAGCTGGAGGGAGTTGGAGCACATGGAGGGCTTGAGAAGCTGTGAGCCCTCATCTCTGGCCACCCTCCCACCTCCCTGCATGTCCCCACCATGCCCAGGTACTCACATGTTGGCTTCAGGGGTGTCAGGCAGGGGGATGCGGAGGTAGGTGATGTCCTGGAAGCCAGAACAGGAAGAGGAGAAGCTCAGGCACTGCAGCCAGGGTGTCACACATGGTCAGAGCAGGGCTGGCAGTGCCTTTGCTCCTCACCCACAGCTGCCTACAGGGTTTTGCTTCCCCCACACAGCACCCCCCTGCATGGGGATGGGGCCACACTCTCCCTGGGGTGAAGGGCAGAGCAAGGGGACACCAGCAGCTCGTGGGAGAGGATGGGAAACAAGAGGAGTCTGGAAAGCTGGAAACTGTTTCCCATCAGTGTTCAAGGTCGGGTTATAGTCACAAGACAGCCAATTTCCCATGCTGGGGGATGCCCAGCCCCTCTGGGGTCAGGGACCAGGGAGAGGTGTATGTGCCATGGGATTCTCAGGGGGGAAGGAAGATGCAGCATGGAAGGAGCTGCAAGAACACAGGGTGACATCTGGTGCAGGACCCTACCTTCAGCAAGGGCTGGGGGGATTCATGGATCGAAACAATGTGGGTGATCTTGTTCCTGCTTAGCTGCTCCAGGTCTTTGGCATCTGAAGGATAAAACCGGACACCAACATGTATTCATTTCCCACCCTTCTCTTCCCACAGTGCTCCCACCCTGCCTCTACAGCCAGCCAGCACACAGAGCCTTGCTCCAGCAGATCAACTGCATCCCACCCCCACAGGCAGCAGGGCAGACATGGGCAAACATGGGAACTTGGAATGCCAATCCCATGATCCCAAAGCAGAGGCCTCTCCCTGATCCCTTCTCCTTGCTGTTCATGCTGGTTGAACCATTCCCACCTGCACAGACACACCCTGGGTCAGCAGGTAGTGTCCCTCCTGCCTGTACTTGTCCCCACTTTGGGAGGAGATGTGCCCTGCCCACATCTCCTTGAGCAGACACACACACAGCACTGGGACTTGCTGCAGCCTGAGAGAACTGCTTTATCTTGTGAACGATGGGAGTGGAGCTGCAGCAATTTATACAATCTCTGATTTTCTGTAGAAACACCTGAGCAGTGATTTGCTGCTCTCTGGTCTGTTCTCTCCGCAGCTGCATGGACAGAAATGGGGAGTCCTTGGCTGTTGGAGGCAATCCCTGCCTCTCACCAGTGCCTCAGCATTCTGGATGTGATCCTGGCCTCTAGTCCAGCACAGCAGTTGTTGCACAGGGAGGGGAGCGTGCTTGTCTTGCTGAGCAGCTTCCAAGTGTCTCCCTTTCATGCCACAACCAGCAGATGCAGCAAGCACGGCCAGAGAGGAGGGGAAACATTTCCCCATCTCATTCTTTTGGGTTTCTAAACTTTCACGTGCTGTAAAACCTTGGCTCAGGGATCCAGCCCAGGAAGTTCTAATGGCATGATGTGAATTTTAATAGGATGAGTCTCAAGGGAGATGCTCTGCAGGGAAGCCTCTCTGTGTGAGGAGGGAGATGGCGACTCACACACCTGCCACCTTCCCATCCGCCTCAGCAGGCAGTGACAGCAACTGGTGACACTGGAATCAAGGCATACCAGAGCTGGAAAAGCTTCCAGTTGGAGGAGATGCCTCTGTGAGCTCAATGTTGCAGGCCTAGAATCTTGTCACCCTGGATTGCCTGGCAGAGTGATGAGGAGTGCTTGGATGGCATCAGGCCCAGCCCCAGAGCAGAGGCTGCCCACAGGAACCCCCCTGATGGCAGCTGGGTGTCCTTGTCCCTCTGCTCCCAGCAAGCCACAGCCCCCCCAGCCCAACCCAAAGTGCTCCAAGGGGCAAAGGGAGAACAGAGCTGCCACTCCAGTGACATTTCCTTAGCAATTCACACCACTGGTTTTAAACTTGTGCAGCACTTACAGCAGGAATCCAGCTGGCAAAGGAGCCATCAGGGAGGCAGGAGCATTATAAATGCTGGTTTGTCATGGCACATGCCAATACTTGGCCATTAACTGTCCCCTGACAATGAAAATTCCTTAAAATAGTGACTTGGTGTGAGAAGGGGTGACTGTGACTCTGCCTCTAGGAAATTCCCTCCTGAGCGTGGGCAGCTCCCTCTGGCCTCTTCTACAGCTGCAAAACTGGGGAGCATTACCCTGAAGTGCCCCAGTCCTGCTCCCTTGGCACCACCAGCTCCTCTGCTCCTGGCAGGGGATCCATATTTCCTCCTTGGCTCCTTTCCCCCATGCATCCCAAGAGCTCAGGGCAGCTGTTAAATAAGGAAACCATGCAGAGGCAGGGGTCTCTGCCTTGCCTTTCCCACAGTGTCTTCACTCCCCCTACTGCCAACCCAAACTGGGTGGCAGAGCAGAGCAGGCTGTGGGTGCAGGCAGAGCAGGGGGTGCAGGCAGAGCAGTGGGTGCAGGCAGGGTGGTGGGTGCAGGCAGAGCAGGGGGTCCAGGCAGGGTGGTGGGTGCAGGCAGGATGTCAGGCAGCATCTGCAGGCAGGGAGACACCAGCTCAAGCAAGCCCCTCTCCCCAGCTGAAGAACACCTCTGCAGCAGCTGGGTTCCACTCACCAACGAAGTTCCCAAGGTAGAGGCCAGGAAGGATCTGTGGGACACAAGGGGAAGTGGCAGTGTGAGCAGTGACCTTGTGCTGTGGTGCCCACTGTGCTGTGGTGCCCACTGTGCTGGGAAGCACTGACCTTGGCTGGAGGGGCCAAAGTTCTGGCATTGACATGGCCATTGAGCCCCAGGGCAGGAATGGTGCTGGGGCAGCTGGAGCTGTGCATTCCCAGGGCTGCCACTGCCCTGGCATCCAGGATGTGGCCCTGGCACCTTCAACCACCTGGCACTGCACTCTCATGGGTGCTGGGAGCCAGACACAGCTTTTTTATTGCTCCTCTTTTTTATCATCAATTAGTCCTCCGCTGGGGTTTATTACCTGAGCTCAGCAAGTTGCATACACCTTTGTACACCCTTGGACTATACCCATGACCTGTGCAAGCCCTGCTGCTCGAGGCATGGGAAAGCAACAGGCACAGAGAAGCTTGTAGGGGATGTAGCTGTCCCCCTCCCAACCCTGAGTTGTGCTCCCCTCACTCTGCACTGCAGGAAGCCCATTTCTCACAGCTCAGGCACAGATTGCTCTGGACACCATGCTTTCAGTTCATTTCCCCTGGGAAATTCCATTTCTCATGATGAAAAGATAATTACTTGACAAGGCCTCTGTTAACAGCACTGCAGATGCAGAAGCAGGACACCTTGCAAACCCTGTCAGCCAGAGCTATTTTATATTCCCCCTCACTCCCAGGCTGGGCAGTGAGTTCAATCCTGTATCCAGCCGGTTCTCTGCCAGTTTCTCCCTGCAGCAATATTTGGTGCTCAGGGCAGGTGGAGGTGATTTTCACCAGCACAGCTGGACTCACACTTGTCTCACGGCTCACATTTGGAAACGTTTCTCTCGATTGAACAGCTTAAAGAAGGGTTTGTTGGGTTGTTTTTATTGTGATTCCTGCGATTTTAGATCAATTTCCTATCGACAGGGTGCCTTTAACTCACAGCTGCGGCACTGAGAGGAGCGGGTGGGAGAGCGCCAGTTAGCAAGGGCAGCTCCCAAGGGCAGGACACTGAACCATGAATAAACAGCATGTGCCTGTCCCCAGCACCCTGCTGACCCGCTCCCCAGAGGAGAAAACGGGGCAGCACATAAATAAAATAGTGCCCATCCCCTCTGCCCCGTGATGCCGAGCCCCACGCACAGCCCAGCCCCGCTGAGCAGGAGGTGCAGGACCACCAGGCTGGGGGTCATAGAGGGCTCACAGCGTGCGCTTGGCGCTGGTTCCTTGGGATTAAAGGTGTTGGGAAAAGTTCCCCCTTCCTTGAAGGAACTCGCTGTGACCCCCTTCCCTCCACCTCCCCGGGCAGCTGTCAGCTGTCCCAGCGCAGTGTCCCTGCCTGTTTCACCTCCGGGGTTGCTCTGCCGGCAGATAAACAAACAAACAAACAAATAAAGATCCGGAGCCGGTGCCGGGAGGTGAAACGCCGCTTGGCAGCCGCCAGGTAAGGGTCCCCACCTCCGGCACCGGCCGAGCCGCCCGGGCATGGCCGAACTGCAGAGCAGCCGCCCCAGCGCTCCCCGTTACCTGGCTCATGCCGTTCCCCATGGCCGACGGCGGGCGCCGGGGGTGGGGACGGGACGCGGCTGTCCTTGTCCCCAACGCTGCCGTCCTCCCCGTGCCCGGGCGCAGCTGCCGTCCCCGCTGCCTGGTCGGGTTTCCGTCATGAAGAGCTTGGCTCCCCCGGGGTCGCTGCTCGCTCCCAGCGCGGCCAGGCCGGGCCGGTGGCTGTGCCGGGGCAGAGGGCGCCGCGGCCGCCGTTCTCCGCGGCTGCTGCCGAGGCCCTTCCCCGGCTGCTCCGGCGCTGCCGCGCACCGGCTGCTGCCTGGCCGGGAGCAGACAAAGGAGGACAAACTCCCCCCCTGCGCCGTGGCGTGGGAGCACGGGGCCGCGCTGGCTGCTGCCTGTCGCCGCTGCCCGCGGCCGCACAAGGCTGCACTGTTGGGAGAAGAACAAAACCTTTGTCCTGCTTCATCAAGGAAGGTCTGTGCGGCCGCGCGGCGAAGCGCCCGGCAGGATGCCCACCCCTGCCCACGCCGTGCCCACCCCTGCATGCACCATACCTATCCCTGCCCTGCCCGCAGCGTGCCCACCCCTGCTCGCCCTGTGCCCACCCCTGCCTGCGCCACACCGCTCCCTGCCCTGCCCGTGCCCACCTGCAGCCAGGTGCCGCAGGATCCCTGCCCTGCCCGGGGAGCTGCAGGAGTGTCCTGGGGACTTCGCAGGGCCGCAGGATGGGCAGTGCCAGCGAGCAGCGGGGCTGTGGGGTTCCCCAGCAGCGCCTGTGGCCGGCTGCTCGCAGCGAGGGTCAGCGCGGGGGTCGCGGGGCCGGGACGGGCCGGGGATCAGGCCGGGGCCGCGGCGGCCGTGTGGGGGTGCGGGTGCCCAGAGCGCCCCCTGGCGCTCAGCAGCGCCGTTGCCATGGGGACGGGCGCGGGCTCCGGCGGCCTCAGGGGCGGGCGGGGAGCGGGGGTCGCGGCCCGGCTCGGAGCGGGGCCCGGAGCGTTCCCGGTGGGCTCCCGGCTCTGTGTCCCAACTCCTGCACGTCCCCAGGGCAGCATGTTAAGCCCCATACGCTCTGTGTGCAGGTGAGGGCAAGGATAGCCCCCGCTCCCCAAGCTTCCCACCGTGAATGGGGAGTATGGCTGGTATCTGTGCGCAGGTATGGATGCTACAGGCGTAATAGAATTAATTAGGTTGGAAAAGATTTCTGAGATCATGGAGTCCAACCTGGGACTGAACACCACCTTGTCGACTAGACCAGGGCACTGGGTGCTATTCCTAGTCTTTCCTTAAACATCTTCAGGTATTTTAAGTCTTTCCTTAAACACCTCCAGGGACGGTGATTCCAGCATCTCCCTGGGCAGCCCATTCCAATGTACAAACACCGACAGCCCTGTCCCCTCCTGGGCAGTGCCTCCTGCAGCACAGTGCCTGAACAGGATGTGATCCCACCAAGGAGCCATAGCCCTCAGCAGGTGTGGATTTGAGCAGCCTGCTCTAGTGGAAGGTGTGCCTGCCCATGGAAAAGGGGTGGAATGGGATGAGCTTTTAAGGTTCCTCCCAACCCAAGCCAGTCTGTGACTCTATGGGGGGAGGTTGAGGGTGGTTTGTAACACTGGGTTGACCTGCACTGTTTCAGCAGTGCTGGGGCTGAGCTGCTGCAGGGTCACCATAGGCAGCTGCCTGCCTTGGAGAGGGGGATGCTGGCTGCACAGGAAAGCTACAGCAGGAATGGTGGAACATGAACTGTAAGACTTGCTCTGTCCTAGCCCCCAGTGTTCATGCAGAGAGACAGAAAATTGAAATTGATCCTCTTCCTCCACAAAGAAAAAGCAGTTATCAGTAGTTTCCATATTTATTTATTTTTCCTCTCAGAATATGTGGTGCAGTTGATCCCCAGAAGCTTCTCAAGGGCAATTGAAGCAAGTCATACTGTGCGAGCATTTGTTATGCTGAATCTTGTATTTTTCTTTCTACCCAGCTGAGTCAGAACAGCTGCTTAGCAAAGGATCTGAAGAGCTTTCAGAAGCAGTTAGAAAGGGAAGCAGGAAAGCCTGAGGCAAGAAAACGTGCCTTTATTCGGAAGACCCTCAAAATGCCTTCAGAGTACTATTTGTTTGTGGAAGAACTTTGCAAGAACCCTGGCATCGCTTGGGTTATGAAACCGGTAAGTGTGTGCTCTCCCAAGGAAAGTGAGAGATGAATGGGTGCCTTCGTTCTTCAGAGGGAGAGGAAAATATGCAGGAAACCCACAGGAAGAATTGGGCAGAGCAAGGTAACATGGAGCAGTGCTCCTGGCCAGGTTTCTGATCAACATGTACCACCAAAACACTGCTTCTTGTGTAAGAGTTTATTTCAGCAGGCAAAAGTCAGCTCAGTTTATTTGTAGAACCAAAGGTAACTCAGTGGTGAAGGTATAAAGTGCAGAGCTCTGTGTGGAGGGACAGACTGCTCCCAGGGGTTCTGGCTGAGTTCACGCTCTGAAATCTTTCAGTTCAGCTGCAGGCGTGCAAGAAGGTGGAGATGTGTGCAGGACAGGTGGCTAATTGGGCTTCTGGTTAACGAGCATTAGGGCAGCCTCCAAAGATGGAGCTGTGAAAACATCTGTTTGGATTTAAGGAAATCCCATGGTGTTAGATGTCGACTCTGGTGTAAACTTACTGGGTGGAATTCCATCCTGAGACTGTGAAGAGATTACAGGAGGCTCCGTTATCACAGAAGCCCAGAATGGTTTGGTTTGGGTTGGAGGGGATCTTAAAGTTCATGTCTTTCTACCCCACTGCCATGGGCAGAGACAACTTCCACCAGACCAGGTTGCTCAAAGCCCAGCCCAATCTGGCCTTGAACACTTCCAGGAAGGGATATCCATTACCAGTCTGGGGTGGGTTTGGTTGGCATGAACTTCTCTCTGCCCTGCAGGTAGGGAAGGGCAGCATTATGTTCTGAGCCATTTTTGTCCCCCCAAACCTGGAGCTGTGCTGAACACCACAGCTTCCACTTCAGCCAGTGATCTGGGGATTAAGGAAAAATTGTGTTTCCCTTAGAAATTCTGACAATATAATGTGACACTGAGAAATGCCTTGCCTGTGCCAGAAGATCCAAGCCATTTAACATCCTCAGTGTTGTGTGGTGCATAATTAAAAACACACCCCTGCGAGTGAGCAGTCCCTCTGTTTTGTGCAGCAGGTCTGGTGAGGAGGCTGGGACAGGAGGATTTGTCTTACCCTTGTGAGAAGTGACTGGGAGGTAATTATGCAAACTAACTCGTGAATTACAACCAGGAGGATAGCAGCTAGTGATTATCTAACTCTACAAATGGGAAGTGTTAATTGGCAACAAAACCCTTATATTAAGCTGATTTTCTGCCCCACAACCTCAATTAACATGGTAAATAACCACAACACAGTAAATAAGGATATGTGAAAAGCCTGTGATTACTGAAATTATACCAACAACTTAAATAGACTGTGGCTGACCTCAAAACTTGCAGGCAAGTAAAAATAAACTCCATGTTGCTCCTTCTGTTGGTCTGTGCTCTGGAGCAGCCCCATGTTGTGATATCCTGGGTTGCCCATCCCCACACTCAAGAGGCAGCAGTAGGGCAGGATGTGCCCAGTGCCACGTCCTGGGGCTGGAGGGAGCTGGACCTGGGCAGCAATGTGGGAGCTGTGCTCCTTGGGGGCCTTATCAGGGCCACTCTTTACCCTCTTCTATTCCAATGTGCAGCCTAGGCTGATTTCAGAATTTTTCTGCTCATTTGCCACAGTTCCCCAACACCCTTTTTGTCTTTCCTGTTTAATTAAGTTCTTCTGTAACATACACAAATTTAAAATGGGACTTAAAATTCCCAACAACATATGTTGCGTTACGTGTATTTCTGGAAGCGTGTGACAGAGTTTGTTTATTTGATGCTGTGGGAGTTCCCCATAGGCCGCCTGCTCTGCCTTTCCTCCAGGAATCCTCCAAACACAAACATGAGGGGGTTTTTGTTGAATCTCCCTGCCCCCATAACCTTAAATAAGCATGCTTGCACATGAGCAGCTGATGAATCAGGTTATGCAGGTCTTCTGCAGTGAAGTTCTGGAAAACTGCAGGAAATGCTAACTAAAAGCCACTAAGTCTGCTCTCCCATCTGTAGGTTGGCAAGTCACAAGGTGGGGAATGTTCCTGAAAACTGAAATGTATAATTGATTGAAGAAGGTGAGAATGACTGTCTTTTCTTTGGGAATATCCAACAGGCATTTTGTTCTTTTGCTCTTTTTTCATCCTCTCCTTCTGCCAATGCTTGGTCTGTTCTCCCATGCTGCCCTCCTGCCATATTCTTTCAACATTCTCCAGGCTAACAATAAAGGTTTTTACAATGGATTTTCCCAAATGGATGGATACTTTCTTTGGGATCTGATTTTTTACACTTTATGTGCATATTTATATATAAACTTCCAATCTTGAGTATATCTAACACTAGGCAGCCACTGGACTTTATTATCATATATATATGAAATATACACATCTTTTATAATATATTTATACTATACATTCTTTGGGTGATCCTGCACAGGGCCAGGAGTTGGACTTAGATCCTTGTAGATCCCTTTCAACTCAGGATTTTCCAAGATTCCAGCAGGGTAAGAAAAGGACTGTGCAGTTCTACTGCTTGCTATTAGGTGCATCAGATGAACCTTGTCACGTCCAGCTCCTGCAAACACCTACAGGACTCGGCTGGCCCGTCGCTGCTGCAGTCACCCTGTCTCTCTCCAGTCCTTTTTCATTGGAAAACTGGTGTCATCAGATCACTGGAAATGTCAGTTTGACAAAGCAGCTCAGAACAAAGCTGAAATGTCACTCCTGGTTTTACTGTTGGTGGTTGAATTTTGGCAGCCTTTCTTCTTCCTTGGGTTCACAGAATGTAAGGACAGGGTGATTCACGGGAGAGAACTATTTGATTTTCAACGTGTCACAGTTGCTGCTGTATTGAATTTGATAGCTTTCATTTGATTAACACATCTTCCCAAAAGTTATGCCACCTCAATTTGATGGTTTAGGAGACAGAAAAATCCATCAGTTCTCTCTGTGAAAGTTCAGCAGAGTTCGCACTCACTCTAAATGATCAAAAGCCTTTCCAGAGTACCAGGTGCAGAGTACCCTACCCTTGGGGGAGGGTGTGCCAAGGTTTGCAGCCATGGTGATGTGAAGATCTTGTTCCAAGTCCCCTGCCATGGGCAGGGACATCTTCCACTAGAGCAGGTTGCTCCAAACCCCATCCAGCCTGGCCTTGAGCACTTCCAGGGATGGGTGTTAGCACCCACCTTTGAGTGGTAACTGAGGTTCTTGTGAATAGATCCCTTGGGGTGAATTAGAGTGAAACAACATTGAATGACCAATGTACATATATGAGGCAGGTTTGTTCTAAAACAACTTAAAAGGAAGCATACAGCTGTTTTGATTCTTTTCTTTAAGAAATATAAAAGTGAAAACATAAGAGAAAGAAAAAAAAATAAAAGATAGGGGAGAGGAAAAATATCACCACCCAGGTATCCAGTGATGAGATTTGATCAGTGCAGTTTCACTGTTTGTGGTCACAGTTCTTCACCTATTAGGAGCCCACACACAACAAAGACTTCTATGGGTTAAATGCATTCAGTTTTAGGGGAAAGGCCTCGATACCTCCCTTGGGTGGGAGTTTACACTGTCACATGAAACTGTGCCTTATAGGGAGGGAGGAAATTGGCATGACACCAAACATTAACCCACCTCTGCAGGATCTGCTTCTTATCTGCCTTTTCCCTTATCTGATGCAATAACACTTTGTCAAGTGGGTTATCTGGCAAACAGTAGATGCAGGGCTCAATCAATTTATCTAAGCAAACTTTG